CGGGGGCGAAAGCATCCCCTCCCCTAACTGTATATATGGACCCATTAGATAGAACAAGAAAAGAGCTTTAAAATGTTTTTTAATTCAAGCTTGTAGGACAATTTTGATGGAAGTTGAATCAATTTTTGTCGAAACAAATTATGGCTCACTACAAGTTAATGCCTGTACGATTCCATACTGCAAAAGGAGCACTATGCTCCCCCCCCCTTCAAAAGAAAAAAGTAGGTATTGCCGGGATTCGAACTCGGGACCGAGTGTGTTTGAGTCGTGCTCGCTAACCACGAGGCTACCAGTGATGTGGTTATTGCTAAAAGTAAAAGTATTGCATTTATTTATGAAATTGTCGGCTCTCTATCAAAAACACGTAGCAGCCACTTGCGTACCGACAATTGTCGGTTCTCTATCTGGCACTACTAGTTGACGATAGAGTGCCGACAATTGTCGGTACCCCAGCAAATACCCCTGGTCAGTCTCCAGTACCGACAATTGTCGGTCCTGGAGCCACTCCGTTTTCCTTATGCCCCATGGGGCTTTTTGAGAGGGAACAACAATTTTTCCAATGTGTGATGGGCGTTCATAAAAGGGAAATAGTTTTCCCAAGCCAGTGGGCATTTATTGAGTAAAGTTGACGTGTACATCTTTTGAAACCAAAAATTATTCTTCATTTAGGTACTCTGTTCGAGAAATAGAGATTAAATTCAAAAAGATGAAGTGAGTACATGGCGAAAATGAAACTTCTTGCGAATGGGAGAACATCCAATTTGATACGAGGACAGCCTGTCTTCGTTTCCAGTTAATCCCAAGTGATTACGTTTAGAATGTTTTGTTCTTTTACATTTTACGATTTGATAAGAGACAGAGACTAAGAAATTAAATGCGACGAAACATTTTGACAACGTAATATGTGTACTGTATATTCTTAAAGTTTTATGCGTTAACTTATTTTATCCGTAAAGGCTAGAGTACCGACAATTGTCGGTACTCTAGACTCTGATGTGGTGGCACGCTAGAGGACCGACAAATAAATTGTCGGTACGGGAGATATGCTGTGTTTACACGCTAGAGGACTTGATTTTCGAATTTTCTGGCGCATGCGCAATGCGCGGGGGGGATATTTCAGATATCATACGGATATTTTGGGAACAAGTGCAAAACCCGGGGAGGGCATTAGCCCCGGTTACCCGGGGATTACCAAACCCAGTCAAAAAATGGTAGCCCGGGAACAGGGAATGGTAACGTTGAAAACCCAATAAAAAGGAAGGGACGTTTGCTACCCATTAGATAGAAGAAAATAGCTAGAATGTTTTTTAGAGCTTATCGTATGGTATGAGGTTCCATATCCATCCGCCAAAAGGTATATAGTCCATTTAAAAACCTGTGGTATCGTTCTAAATAACCCATAGTTGGCTTCTAGGGTACCTAGTATGCCACTATTTGGTATCAAAATAAAGAGGAGTTCAACTTTCATTTGAATTACGAAAATAGCGATGTAGGTCAAAATAGTTCCGAACGTGAGGATGTTTACTACGCGTTTGCCTGTCATATCAGAATTGAGGAAGTGGTAGCAAACGCGAGTTACAATAAACGGACGCTGATATCTCAAAAAGTAAGCTGACTCCCTATAATTTGATGTAGGTCAATCGAACCCCTATATGGACAGGTGCATTTTGATATATAACACTATGGGGGGTAAGCATTTCATAGTTGGTCACGAACGCCATATGTGCAAAGTATTGTTATGAATTTTCGAATTTGGTGTTGGATTACGGTACTCATACCTTATAGCACAATTTTTGATGGAAGTTGCATTTGGCTCCCTTAGTTAATGGCCACGATTCCATCTCGCATGAGAGAGCTACCAAACGCAAAGTAAACAGTGATATATTCCAAATGAGATATTTCTCCTGTGCCATGGCGTAGTAAGGGTAGGGGTCGAGGCTTTCGAGGCTTTCGCCCCCCCCCCTCCTAATTGTATATATCGACCCATTAGATAGAACAAGAAAAGAGCTTTAAAATGTTTTTTAATTGAAGCTTGTAGGACAATTTTGATGGAAGTTGAATCAATTTTTGTCGAAATAAATTATGGCTCACTACAAGTTAATGCCTGTACGATTCCATACTGCAAAAGAAGCACTATCCCCCCCTCAAAAGAAAAAAATAGGTCTTGCCGGGATTCGAACTCGGAACGTGTGTTCGAATCGTGCTCGCTAACCACTAGACTACCACTGATGAAGTTATTTATGGAATTAAAAGTAGACTAGTGAATTTATTTATGAAATTGTCGGCTCTCTAGCAAAAACACGTAGCAGCCACTTGCGTACCGACAATTGTCGGTTCTCTATCTGACACTACTAGGTGACGATAGCAGAGCTGTCAAGTGTCCCGCGAATGGCGGGATTATCCCGCGAATTTGACCAAAATTTGGCTTATTCGCGTGTCCCGCAATGTCCCGCGAATTCCCGCAAATGACGGCCTTGACCTCCGCGAATTTTCAAAATTGTAACAATCCCCGAGGCTAAATAATTGTGATTATATTGTGATATAAGAAGCTAAGGTTTTTGCACTTTTGAGGAGTCAAGTTTACCTAATTTGAAAAGTGCTGCCGAACTCCCAGTGCATCAGATCATCGAAGACTGCTTTTGGAAGGAGCATATAGTACACTTATAAAACTATGATTTTGATCCAAATAACACCATAGTTGGCTTCTAGCATGCCGTTTGGTATCATCAAAATAAAGAGGAAGAGTGCAAATTTCATTTTAATTACGGCAAAAGGGATGTATGTCACGATTAGTTCCAACGTTGGCCTTTTTACTACGCGTGTCACGGCCTTCATCTCAGAACTGAACAAATGTTAGCAAACGCGAGTTCCAAAATATAAATGGACACTGATATCTCGAAAAGAAACCTGACTCCCCATAATTTGATGTAGAATAATCGAACCCCTATACGAATAGGTACATTTTGATATATAACACTATGGGGGTAAATGTTTCATAGTTGGTCACGAACGCCATAAGTGCAAAGTATTCACAAGAATTTTTGAATTTCGTGTCGGATTACGGTACTCACACATAAAGCGTGGTTTTTGATAGTTTAATAATTGTTCTATGCGTATTGTGTGGAATTGTGTGGAATTGTGTTGCCGTTTACTTAAGTTAAGTGCATTATATTTGATAAATCAGTATCTGAAAGTTTGATTCAAGAGTACTTTTACATTAAAAATCCCTTGAATGTCCTGCGACATCCCGCAAAAGGTGGATGTCCCGCAAAATCCCGCGAATTTAGGGCACTTTGTCTAGAAAAATTATCCCTCTCTGAAGTCTTTGGTAGTTACCCTGTTAATTGTCCCGCAAGTAGCGTGTTTGTCCCTCGAATGGCCCCGCGAAATCCCGCGAATTTGATCAAAATTTGACCTTTTAGCGCAATCACGCAAATCCCTTAAATGTCCCGCGAAATTCCGCGAATTTAGGTGGATGTCCCGCAAAATCCCGCGAATTTTTGGAACTGGGTCTAAAAAATCTGTCCCGCGAGAAAATCTTTGGGGGTTGACAGTACTGCGATAGAGTGCCGACAATTGTCGGTACCCCAGCAAATACCCCTGGACAGTCTCCAGTACCGACAATTGTCGGTCCTGGAGCCACTCCGTATTTTATCGGTTTCAAAATGTTTCATTTTATTTTGCCTATATAAAATATATTGAATAAGATAAGATCAACTGTTCCGTAATATATATTGTGTTTTGATGACCTTTTTTAGAATCACAATGTAAAATAAATCCCCCGTTCCTGTCATTCTGGTAACGCCGTGTAATGGATGCAATTCAAAGTGAGAGAGAGATCTATACATCAGAATGCGTCCATGCCATTGATTTTGCCAAATACATGACATGAAACTGGCTTGAGGTGCGTCCCCCTTTATCTGGTAAATTATGACTAAATTTTTCGGACAACTGGGTTTCGGAGAACTGGGTTTCGGAAAACTGGGTTTCGGAGAACTGGGTTTCGGAGAACTGGGTTTCGGAGAACTGGGTTTCGGAGAACTGGGTTTCGGACAACTGGGTTTCGGACAACTGGGTTTCGGACAACTGGGTTTCGGACAACTGGGTTTCGGACAACTGGGGTGCACCCTAAAAATTTTCCTCTCGGGAATATCCTGTCCACTGACTTGTTCCCTCGGCCTGCAGCCTCGGGAACATGTCAGTGGATATTCCCTTGAGGAAAATATTTTGCACTATTTCCCTCAATGGCAGTGACTATTTGTACACTAGTAAAACTACAGCATTCAATTAAAATTGTGTAAAAACAAACACGCCTTCTTCATCAATAATATTTTATTTTTTGAGTGTAATAAGTAAAAAAAAAAAAGTAAAGTCCTACTGCATTGTAGAGGCATAACAAAACAGACTATGAATCAAAAGTTGTTCCTTATACATGTAACATGTCATAGCACCTTCATAAATTAATTTTTCACAAAAAATAAACTTCTCACCAGCTAGTCATGCTTTAGAACTAAATAATCAATCAGATCCTAAGAGGGACCATGCGTGGTCAGAATGTAATGAATCAGCACTATGCATGTTTTTATTAGGCCAAGTTGATTTTCAGTTGGCTAGATATCCAAATATGGTCAGACATGGTGGGTCTTTGCAAAATGTTACCAGCTGAATTCTATTGCTTTTCAAAAAATGTATTAAACAATTCATGTATCAAGTAATCATAAAACCACATTGACACTAAATCAAATGCATGGTAATAATTTACAAGGATACAATTATAACATGTACAACAAGGCCTTAACATGCAAAATGTCACCAACTACCATTTGTTACAGATGCTAACTGCCGATACCAAACACTGAATGCCAAACACCAAAAGCCAGCACCATCCAAAAAAAAGATTGGAGACTAACAGTAACAATATGTCACCACTTAGGGTGGTGACATAAAAATTTATAATTACCAAGCAAGTTATAAGTTGAATATTTTCATAAAATCTTTTTCTTATAAAACAAGTGAAGTTGCTTTGAATCTTGAGTGGCTTCATGATATTATTGACTGGTTGACATGGTTAACAAATGACACATATTCAGACTGTCTTATAAAAACAATTATTGGCAGGGGTTTTACTTCACACATGCAAAATTAATGGAAATCATTAATTTAACATGGAAAAGTTGGAAAGGCCCTAAAAACAACAGGCGATTTTGTGAAAACAACCGGTGAAAATCGCCTGTTACCTGCTACTAATGAAACTCCTGAATTGGAGAAATCAAGTAATTGTCAAGACACAATAGTATAGTTTCTAAATAGCTAAATAAAGCTGAATAAAGCTGACATAATAGATGTCACCTTTGTTCATCTTGGGCCAACCTTCCATTGAGTTCTATGCTAAAAGCTTGCAATTGTGTTAGTTAAATCTGTCTGAAATTTGAATGGCATACTATTAAATGACCCTGTCAATGAACATATTGTGATTAAACATGAAAATGTTGGTTGTCATACGATTAAACCATGGTTTTAAAGAAATTTAGTATAACATCAATGGAGATTTGGCCCAAGTTTTTTTTAAATGTCATGGAGAATGATTTAAATGACATGAATGTGTAAATCAAAGCTATTATTGTAGGAAACATATCACTGAATTCAAATATGCTATTAAAAAGAAAGAAAAGTAAGTCATTAGAGGTAAAATGTACAAATCTCTTAAAATCTCATGAAAAAACGAGAATTAGTGAGATTTCAAAATCATTTAGAAACTCCTCTATTCAGAATATAACTGAACCTAGTTAATCCAGCAGTTTAGTTTGTTCATTATTTATTGTATTCAACCCAGGTTCCTCTTTCAACATCCAAGACACCACATGTAATAATTGTTCATCCTGATGAGCTATATAATTGGCATCTGCCTCTTTAATGTGTTCAGTTTCTTCAGCTTTAATCATATTGTGGTAGTCAGTTTCTTTTGTCGTATTATTCTCTTTAGTGTGTGGAAAGTTTAAGGAAGGAATTCCAATATGACTAGTATGATTGTCGTTTTCAAGTGTGAGAATGTTATGAGAGGTAGGACTCTCATGGTTAAAATCTTCTGCAGGTTCAATCTTTATCATAGCTTCAACATGTGGTCCAATGCTAGGTACATATTCCCCTTTAGTATCTGCATGATAATCACGTTTATCACTGGATGGATTTCCAAAGAAAAATTCATCTGTAAAAGCGTCATCGTCAATATCATTATCATCCCTTTCATCTTTAATGTCAAATACTTGATCATTTCCATATTCAAGTGTCGATACACTATCAAAATCTTGCTCAATTTCACCATAAGTCTCCTTCTCTTTGACAGGGTTCTCATGAAGTACAGTCCAGGGATCGAGGTTTCTACCATTTTGGTGTTTCTGAAGTTTAGGGCACTTTCTCAGAGTAATATGACAAGATGCCATTGATTTAGTGATGTAAATCCCTTTACATAAACTACATGTATATCTAAGTGCAGTCCCATTGTTATTTTCAGAGTGATATTGTTCATGCGATTCAAGTTCCTTTTTATTTTTGAATAAATGTTGACAATATTGGCACTTTAATGATTTTGGATTCTTACAAAGAACAGAATGCCGATTGAACATGTATTTATATCTAAACACTAAATTACATCTTTTACATTTTAAGCATTTTACAACTTTCGATTTCCATTCTCCTGTTTTCTTATATGGTATAAGTTTCATGTGTTCTTTTAAGAAATGTTTTATTTTGTGTTTATGCTTTATGTGTGTGTACTTATCACTTCGAGTGAAGACAACAAAGTTACATATTGTACATTGATAAGCAAAATCTTCATGTGCATAAAATAAGTGCTCCCTTAGCATAAATCTAGTGATAAATCCCTCGTCACATTTCGCACATTTATAACGATTTTGTGTGTCAGTGTGCTGAATCCTAATATGACCATTCAGAACATCTTTACGTGAAAATGACTTTTCGCACATATTACACTGAAAACGCCTCCCTGTATGAGTTAACATGTGATTCTTTAATACAGTTTTCCGATAGAAAATTTTATGGCACACACTACAAGTTACTTCATTCGTCTTGGTTCTTGCTCCAATCTTTGGTCTACTTTTATCATGAAAACTGGCCATATGATATTTTATGTTCTTTTCATACCTGAATTTGCTCCCACATATTTTACATTCAAAAGGCTTCACACCTTTGTGGGACAAAACATGTAATTCTAATTCTGCTTTTGAGCGAGCTATCATCCCACAGTTTTCTTGTGAACATTTATATCCATTAAGATCAATCCTATGTTTTTCTTTCTTATGTCTTGGGAGATCATGTGTTACAACTCCACATATTTCACATTTGTGTCTAGTTATCAATTTTTCAGCAGCAACATCAATATGTTCTTTCACTATATGCACATCCAACTTAGCTTTTTTATCAAAGTTTTCAAAGCAATGATTGCACTGTACATCTTTTTTCCTCTCGCGTGTAAAAAGTTGGTGAGTTTCTTTAACATGACGAAAAAGGTTACCTTTTTGTTTAAAAGAATTAGCACAAATGTCACAGTCATATACCATGGATTCGTTTGATGGAGACGCCATTTTGCATTTTTTCTTAAAATGTTTTTGATTTAATGGTTCATTTCCATACATCTTCTTATCGTTCATGGAACATTTGTACTTGTGTGTTTCATTTTGACAGATCATTTTTAGTCTTTCATCACTTTCACTGATTTCATCTTTGGTTGAATGCATGTTGCATTTTCGTCACCTTTAATATTTCGTTACAGAGTTCCATTCCTTGTTGTTCATACATGTACAATGAACTATTTATAATTGCATGAACACCGCCAATAAATATGTCCATCCATGCCTTAGCAAAGCTGGCTCATTGAAAATGGGTGAGATACTGTGGAGACATGTCATCCTGATGTATGTATGCTAAGTTGTTTTGAAGAACACTATGTAGTTCTCTTGCAAGGACAAGTTAGATTTTAGATGTATCACGCAATCCATTGTCCATTTCACATGGTTGGGAATCCTGAAAGTAGAAATGTGGAAATCAATATTCACAGGAATTAAAGGAGTGATACCATTCTGAGAATGATTTAAAACATTAACACAAAGTATTATTAATTAAACATGACGTTAAAATGATTGTAATATTACACACTCTGTATATGCTAATTCTTTGCACGTATTGGCAGTGTGGCACGGCTTGATATTTCTAGATACGCTGAGTTTCCATACGAGTTTTCATTCCATGAAAATGGTAGACATGAAATATTTAGAATTCACAATGGTTTGAGCTTTATTATACTCTCACAATGCAAGAAGTGCATATTTTCATGCTCCTTCCTTGTTCCTGGGAAAGGTAAGATGATTTGTGGAAATTTTGGATTCTTGCAAATGTGGGACTGTTGCAAGGCTACTCCTTGAAACTCACAAAGTAGCCTCACTTCACACTCTTCATGCTAGCTTTGGGGATCCATGCACCTCAAATTCATAGTTATGAAAAATGCGTTTATGTGTGATGTAACTTTGACATGTTTCTTTAGTAAAGATATACAATTCATACACAAGGTAAACAGATTTTTAAAACATGTGTCTTTATCAAAAAAAATTTGGCAGTCATTTTTTGTACTTTTGATTTAATTTAGCTTCGCCTTAAGGTGCCATGATACTTAACAGGAAATGACGAAACAGGAAGTGACAAAAAATTCAGCAGATAACAGCTAGAGTTCTGTTTTAACCTGCAGTCAATTTAACTATTTCCAAATATCTTTTACATGACCAGGATCACAATGTGCATGGTCAGAATGACCATAAACATGATGAAATAACCTTTTCAGCCCTTTGGAAATGTGACTGAAAAATACCTAAAAGTAGGAGCTAGGGAAGGTCACTGAACAGAATCTTTTGAATTTTTCAGAAAATGTGCCCAATATAATGCTGTAACTGATAAAACCTTTGAAATTTTAGAAAATTGTCCGAAACAAAATGGCGGTCATAAAAAGGAAAATAGATCGCTTTTCAAATCAGGTTTTTCATTTTTTTTCTTTTTCTATGAATGATATCAAATTTTCAAAGATTGTATCATTTAGAGCAATATAGATTTGGCACATTTTCTGAAAAATTCAAAAGATTCTGTTCAGTTACCTTTCCTACCTCATACTTTTAGCTATTTTTGAGTCACATTTTCAGAGTGCTGATTTTTTCTATGAGAACGGTCATAAAATATACTGTAAGTATTTGGAAATCTACCGTATTTCTGCTGAAATTAACAGTATTCTTGGTCAAACTATCGTAAAATCTATTGTATTATTAGACTCCAGATTGACATCTGGAGTCTAGAGTCTATTGTTTTTGTCAGTATTCTTATTCTTTATTATTCTTTATTCTTTATTAGGAGGCCCCAACGGGGGGCCTCCTATTAATTTTATAGATATTATTATTATTATTAGGAGGCCCTCCTGAAAGGGCCTCCTATAGCTTTTGTAGCTTTTCTTTATTAGGAGGCCCTCCTGAAAGGGCCTCCTATAGCTTTTGTAGCTTTTCTTTATTCTTTCTTTATTCTTTATTCTTTATTTATTATTCTTCCAAAGCATTTTTCTCCTACTTCCAACTAGCTTTCAACTACCTACTATATGATCCTACTAGGAACCTTGTCTGGAATAGGGGGGAAAATATTTTTTATCTAGGTCAAGGTCAAAGGTCAAAATCTAGGTCAAATCTAAGTTTTTTTTCAAGTTTCTCAAGTTTGTCATTATACTTCATTATTTCTTGCGATGAATTAAACTGAAACTACATTTAAGTATTCTCTACAAATTGTTCACTATATGTCAGCATTAAATTTTTACCGTTTTTGAGATATTTGACGTCAAAAAACGGTCAAAAAAGGTCATTTTTCAACTTGCTTCAATCTGACCAATTTTTTTTTTAAAAATCATCTACAAGTTCCCAGGAGTCCAAATCTGACCTCAGATTTGACCTTTGACCTTCGGTTGACCTTCAGTGACCTCCGAAAGGTCAAAAAAGTTGATTTTTCAAATCGATTTTCTGGATTCAAATTTAGGTATATCTATTCACAAAAAACCTTTTGAGGTCTAAAAAAGTAAAATTTGCAAGGTCAAAGGTCAAGGTCATCAAACGAAATCACAAACTGTGTTTTCTAAGTTTCTCAAAATTGGAGACTACAAATCAATGTTTTTTACTGAAAGTCAGAATATATATTCCTCTAAAGGTTCTACACATATTAGCAATTGACTATTTATTAAAATTTTGCTCCAGTTTTGAGATATTAGAACTCAAAAACTGAAAAATGGTCAAATTTCGAAATTTTTGAGGGTCAAATTTCAACTTGCTCTAAATTGACCAAACCTTTTTTTAAAAAGCATCTACAAGATCTCTGGAACTCAAATCTGACCTTAGTTTTGACCTATGACCTTTAGTTGACCTTCAGTGACCTTCGAAAGGTCAGAAAAGTTGATTTTTCAAATTGAGTCTTTGGATTCAAATTTAGGTCAGTCTAATTACAAAAAGCCTACTGAGGTCTCAAAAAGTAAAAATTTCAAGGTCAAAGGTCAAGGTCATCAAAAACTGTGCTATCTAAGTTTCTCATACGTCAAGACTTCAAATCAATATTTTTAATTGAAAGTCAAGATATACTTTTCTCTAAGGGTTCTACACATATTAGTCATTGACTATTTATTAAAATTTTGTCCCACTTTTGAGATATAAGAGCTCAAAAACTGAAAAAGGTCATTTTTTCAAAAATTATAAGGTCAAATTTTAACTTCCTTCAAATTCACCCAACCTTTTTTTAAAAAATCATCTTCAACTTCTCAGGAGTTCATATTTAACCTCAGATTTGACATTTGACCTTTAGTTGACCTTCAGTGACCTTTGAAATGTCAGAAAAGTTGATTTTTCAAATTGAGTTTTTGGACCTATAGCTTTTGTAGCTTTTCTTTATTCTTTCTTTATTCTTTATTCTTTATTTATTATTCTTCCAAAGCATTTTTCTCCTACTTCCAACTAGCTTTCAACTACCTACTATATGATCCTACTAGGAACCTTGTCTGGAATAGGGGGGAAAATATTTTTTATCTAGGTCAAGGTCAAAGGTCAAAATCTAGGTCAAATCTAAGTTTTTTTTCAAGTTTCTCAAGTTTGTCATTATACTTCATTATTTCTTGCGATGAATTAAACTGAAACTACATTTAAGTATTCTCTACAAATTGTTCACTATATGTCAGCATTAAATTTTTACCGTTTTTGAGATATTTGACGTCAAAAAACGGTCAAAAAAGGTCATTTTTCAACTTGCTTCAATCTGACCAATTTTTTTTTTAAAAATCATCTACAAGTTCCCAGGAGTCCAAATCTGACCTCAGATTTGACCTTTGACCTTCGGTTGACCTTCAGTGACCTCCGAAAGGTCAAAAAAGTTGATTTTTCAAATCGATTTTCTGGATTCAAATTTAGGTATATCTATTCACAAAAAACCTTTTGAGGTCTAAAAAAGTAAAATTTGCAAGGTCAAGGTCATCAAACGAAATCACAAACTGTGTTTTCTAAGTTTCTCAAAATTGGAGACTACAAATCAATGTTTTTTACTGAAAGTCAGAATATATATTCCTCTAAAGGTTCTACACATATTAGCAATTGACTATTTATTAAAATTTTGCTCCAGTTTTGAGATATTAGAACTCAAAAACTGAAAAATGGTCAAATTTCGAAATTTTTGAGGGTCAAATTTCAACTTGCTCTAAATTGACCAAACCTTTTTTTAAAAAGCATCTACAAGATCTCAGGAACTCAAATCTGACCTTAGTTTTGACCTATGACCTTTAGTTGACCTTCAGTGACCTTCGAAAGGTCAGAAAAGTTGATTTTTCAAATTGAGTCTTTGGATTCAAATTTAGGTCAGTCTAATTACAAAAAGCCTACTGAGGTCTCAAAAAGTAAAAATTTCAAGGTCAAAGGTCAAGGTCATCAAAAACTGTGCTATCTAAGTTTCTCATACGTCAAGACTTCAAATCAATATTTTTAATTGAAAGTCAAGATATACTTTTCTCTAAGGGTTCTACACATATTAGTCATTGACTATTTATTAAAATTTTGTCCCACTTTTGAGATATAAGAGCTCAAAAACTGAAAAAGGTCATTTTTTCAAAGTTTATAAGGTCAAATTTTAACTTCCTTCAAATTCACCCAACCTTTTTTTAAAAAATCATCTTCAACTTCTCAGGAGTTCATATTTAACCTCAGATTTGACATTTGACCTTTAGTTGACCTTCAGTGACCTTTGAAATGTCAGAAAAGTTGATTTTTCAAATTGAGTTTTTGGACTCAAATTTAGGGTTGGCCTAATCAAAAAAAAACTACTGAGCTCTAGAATAGTAAAATTTTCAAGGCCAAGGGTCACGGTTATCAAATTAGGTCAAAGGTCAAGATCTAGGTCAAATCTAAATTTTTTTCAAGTTTCTCAACTTTGTCCTTATACTTCGTTATTTCTTGCGATGAATTAAACTGAAACTACATTTTGGTATTCTCTATAAATTCTTCACTTTATGTCAGCATTAAATTTTTACCGTTTTTGAGATATTTGACGTAAAAAAACGGTCAAAAAAGGTCATTTTTCAACTTGCTTCAATCTGACCAAATTTTTTTTATAACTCATCTACAAGTTCCCAGGAGTCCAAATCTGACCTCAGATTTGACCTTTGAACTTTAATTGACCTTCAATGACCTTCGAAAGGTAAGAAAAGTTGATTTTTTAAATTGAGTCTTTGGATTCAAATTTAGGTCAGCTTAATTACAAAAGTCCTACTGAGGTCTGAAAAAGTAAAACTTTTCAAAGTCAAAGGTCAAGATTATGAAATTAGGTCACAAACTGTGCTATCTAAGTTTCGCAAAGTTCGACTACAAACCAATATTTTTAATCCTGAGTCGAAATAAACACATTCCTCTAAGGGTTGTACACATATTAGCAATTGACTATCTAATTGAATTTTGTCCCAGTTTGAGATATAAGAGTTCAAAAGTTGAAAAAAGGTCAATTTCGAAATCTTTCAAGGTCAAATTTAAACTCGCTTCAAATTGACAAAATCTTTTTTTGAAAATCATCTACAAGTTTTCAGGAGTTCACATCTGACCTCAGATTTGATATTTGTCCTTTAGTTGACCTTCAAATTGTCAAAAATGCCTAAGAGGGCCTCCGTGAGATTGCTTGCAATCTTCAAAAGTCTAGTTATTATTCTTTATTCTTTATTATTCTTTCAAAGCATTTTTCTTCTACTTCCTACTAGCTTTCAACTACCTACTATATGATCCTACTAGGAACCTGGGCTGGAATAGGGGGGAAAATATTTTTTATCTAGGTCAAGGTCAAAGGTCAAAATCTAGGTCAAATCTAAGTTTTTTTTCAAGTTTCTCAAGTTTGTCCTTATACTTCATTATTTCTTGCGATGAATTAAACTGGAACTACATTTAAGTATTCTCTACAAATTGTTCACTATATGTCAGCATTAAATTTTTACCGTTTTTGAGATATTTGACGTCAAAAAACGGTCAAAAAAGGTCATTTTTCAACTTGCTTCAATCTGACCAAATTTTTTTTTTTAAATCATCTACAAGTTCCCAGGAGTCCGAATCTGACCTCAGATTTGACCTTTGACCTTTAGTTGACCTTCAGTGACCTTCGAAAGGTCAGAAACTTTGATTTTTCAAATTGAGTCTTTGGAAATTTCAAGGTCAAAGGTCAAGGTCATCAAATTAGGTCACAAACTGTGCTATCTAAGTTTCTCATAGTTCAAGACTACAAATCAATATTTTTAATTGAAAGTCAAGATGTACATTCCTCTGAGGGTTCTACACATATTAGTCTTTGACTATTTATTAAGATTTTGTCCCAGTTTTGAGATATTGAAGGTCAAAAAAAGGTCAAAAAAGGTCTTTTTTCAACTTGCTTCAAATTGACCAATTTTTTTTTTAAAACTCATCTACAAGTTCTCAGGATTCCAAATCTGACCTTACTTTTGACCTTTGACCTTTGGTTGACCTTCAGTGACCTCCGAAAGGTCAAAAAAGTTGATTTTTCGAATCGATTTTCTGGATTCAAATTTAGGTGTATTTATTCACAAGAGACCTTCTGAGGTCTAAAAAAGTAAAATTTGCAAGGTCAAAGGTCAAGGTCATCAAACGAAATCACAAACTGTGTTTTCTAAGTTTCTCAAAATTGGAGACTACAAATCAATTTTTTACTGAAAGTCAGAATATATATTCCTCCAAAGGTTCTACACATATTAGCAATTGACTATTTATTAAAATTTTGCTCCAGTTTTGAGATATTGGAACTCAAAAACTGAAAAAAGGTCAAATTTCGAAATTTTTCCAGGTCAAATTTCAACTTGCTCTAAATTGACCAAACTTTTTTTTAAAAAGCATCTACAAGATCTCAGGAACTCAAATCTGACCTTAAAAAAAAGTTGATTTTTCATATTGATTTTCTGGATTCAAATTTAGGTTTATTCAATCAAAAAAGACATACTGAGGTCTAAAAAAGTAAAATTTTCAAGGTCAAAGGTCAAGGTCATCAAACAAGATCACAAACTGTGTTTTCTAAGTTTCTCAAAGTTTGTGACTACAAATCAATATTTTTGAATTAAAGTCAGGATATATATTCTTCTAAAGGTTTTACACATATTAACAATTGATTATCTATTAAAATTCTGCACCAGTTTTGAGATATTGGACCTCAAAAACTGAAAAAGGTCTAATGTTGAAATTTTTCAAGGTCAAATTTCACATTGCTTCAAATTGACCAAACTTTTTTTTAAAAAATCATCTACAAGATGCCTGGAGTTCATATATGACCTTTGATTTGAGATTTAACCTTTGGCTGACCTTCAAATTGCCAAAAACGCCTACAGGGCCTCCGTAAGATTGCTTGCAATCTTAAAAGTCTAGTTCTTTATTTATTCTTCCTAAACCTTTTTCTCCTACTTCCAACTTCCTTTCAACTATCTACTATATGTACCTACTGGGGACCTTGGCTGAACTTGGGGGAAAGGAATTTTTATCTAGGTCAAAGTCAAAGGTCAAAATCTAGGTCAAATCTAAGTTTTTTTCAAGTTTCTCAAATCCTGACACTACACTTCAATATTTTTGGCTGAATTTTTGCATACAGATAGATATTAGTATTCTATTAGTCTTACCCTTTTGCCGTCTAGAGAAATTTTGCCTAGATTTTGAGATATTGAACATCAAAAAAAGGTCAAAAAAGGTATTTTTTCAACTTGCTTCAAATTGACCAATTTTTTTTTTAAAACTCATCTACAAGTTCTCAGGATTCCAAATCTGACCTTACTTTTGACCTGTGACCTTTGGTTGACCTTAAGTGACCTCCAAAAGGTAAAAAAAGTTGATTTTTCAAATCGATTTTCTGGATTCAAATTTAGGTATATTTATTCACAAAAGACCTTCTGAGGTCTAAAAAAGTAAAATTTGCAAGGTCAAAGGTCAAGGTCATCAAACGAAATCGCAAACTATGTTTTCTAAGTTTCTCAAAATTGGAGACTACAAATCAATTTTTTTACTGAAAGTCAGAATATATATTCCTCTAAAGGTTCTACAAATATTAGCAATTCACTATTTATTAAAATTTTGCTTCAGTTTTGAGATACTAGATCTCAAAAACAGAAAAAAGGTCAAATTTCGAAATTTTTCAAGGTCAAATTTCAACTTGCTCTAAATTGACCAAACTTTTTTTTAAAAAGCATCTACAAGATCTCAGGACCTCAAATCTTCTGGATTCAAATTTAGGTTTATTTAATCATAAAAGATAAACTGAGGTCTAAAAAAGTAAAATTTGCAAGGTCAAAGGTCAAGGTCATCAAACAAGATCACAAACTGTGTTTTCTAAGTTTCTCAAAGTTTGTGACTACAAATCAATATTTTTGAATTAAAGTCAGGATATATATTCCTCTAAAGGTTTTACACATATTAGCCATTGATTATCTATTAAAATTTTGCACCAGTTTTGAGAAATTAGAACTCAAAAACTGAAAAAATGTCAAATTTCGAAATTCTTCAAGGTCAAATTTCAACTTGCTCTAAATTGACCAAACTTTTTTTTAAAAAGCACCTGCAAGATCTCAGAAACTCAAATCTGACCTCAGATTTGACCTTTGACCCTTAGTTGACCTCCAGTGACATTCGAAAGGTCAGAAAAGTTGATTTTTCAAATTGAGTCTTTGGATTCAAATTTAGGTCAGTCTAATTACAAAAAGCCTACTGAGGTCTAAAAAAGTACAAATTTCAAGGTCAAAGGTCAAGGTCATCAAATTAGGTCACAAACTGTGCTATTTAAGTTTCTCATAGTTCAAGACTACAAATCAATATTTTTAATTTAAAGTCAAGATATACATTCCTCTAAGGGTTCTACACATATTAGCAATTGACTATTTATTAAAATTCTGTCCCAGTTTTCAGATATAAGAGCTCAAAAACTGAAAAAGGTCAATTTTTCAGAGTTTATAAGGTCAAAGTTTAACTTGCTTCAAATTCACCCAATTTTTTTTTGAAAATCATCTACAACTTCAGGAGTTCATATTTAACCACAAATTTGACATTTGACCTTTAGTTGACCTTCAGTGACCTTCGAAGGTCAGAGAAGTTGATTTTTTAAATCGAGTTTATGGATTCAAATTTAGGGTTAGCCTAAGCATAAAAGACCTACTGAGCTCTAAAACAGTAATATTTTCAAGGTCAAGGGTCACGGTTATCAAATTAGGTCAAAGGTCAAAATCTAGGTCAAATCTAATTTTTTTTTAAGTTTCTCAACTTTGTCCTTATACTTCATTATGTCTTGCGATGAATTAAACTGAAACTACATTTTAGTATTTTCTACAAATTGTTCACTAGATGTCAGCATTAAATTTTTACCGTTTTTGAGATATTTGACGTCAAAAAACAGTTGAAAATGTCATTTTCAACTTGCTTCAATCCGACCAATTTTTTTTAAAAATCATCTACAAGTTCCCATGAGTCCAAAGCTGACCTCAGATTTGAGCTTTGACCTTTAGTTGACCTTCAATGACCTTCGAAAGGTAAGAAAAGTTGATTTTTCAAATTGAGTCTTTGGATTCAAATTTAGGTTAGCCTAATTACAAAAGACCTACTGAGGTCTAAAAAAGTAAAACTTTTCAAGGTCAAAGGTCAAGATCATGAAATTAGGTCACAAACTGTGCTATCTAAGTTTTGCAAAGTTCGAGACTACAAACCAATATTTTTAATCCGAAGTTGAAATATACACATTCCTCTAAGGGTTCTACACATATTAGCAATTGACTATCTAATAGAATTTTGTCCCAGTTTGAGATATAAGAGTTCAAAAGTTGAAAAAAGGTCAATTTCGCAATTTTTCAAGGTCAAATTGAAACTTGCTTCAAATTGACAAAATCTTTTTTTGAAAATCATCTACAAGTTCTCAGGAGTTCTCATCTGACCTCAGATTTAGTTGACCTTCAAATTGTCAAAAATGCCTTAGAGGGCCTCCGTGAGATTGCTTGCAATCTTCCAAAGTCTAGTTATTCTTTATTATTCTTTCCCAGTTTTCTCGTTAACTAGAAGATATTGAGTCAAGTCTTATATATGGTCCATTTATGGTTATTTAGGTCCTAGATCTAGTTTCTCGGAAATTGGGTCAAATTTTTATCTAGGTCAAAGTTCAAGAACTAGGTCAAATCTTACATTTTCAACATTCTGTCATTTATCTTCGTCGTTGTTTATCGTAACTCCTAAATCTTTTTTTCATCATGTACCTTAGAAAAAGCCAAAGCAAAGATATGACATTAGATTTTTGATTACACTTACCGATTTTGAAATATGGTGTCCAGAAAGTAGGTCAAAATGAAAAGTTCTCCAAATTTAACATCTGAGTTATGAATTAAGGGTAGAATTTACTCAGGAATCCGAATCTGCAAACCAAATTTCGATCCGAGTTCCGGTTCGAAAGTTATGGCGTTTTGAAATTTCGAGAAAAATCGATCTGATGATATCCTTATAGAAAGTCAAGAGTAGCGAAGAAAATATAGAAAAAATCATCCATCCTTCCTTCCTATCCTGTCTGATCATATCCTTCCTTTCTATCCTTCCTTCCTATCCTTTCCTTCCTATCCTATCCTTCCTTCCTATTCTATATCCTATCCTTTATCTATCCTATATCCTATCGTATATCCTATCCAATCCTATCCTTCTTTCCTATCCTTCCTATCCTATCCTTCCTTCCTATCCTATACTATCCTATCGTTTCTTCCTATTCTATCCTATCCTTCCTTCCTATTCTGGAAGGAAGGATAGGATAGGAAGGAAGGATAGGATAAGAAGGATAGGAAAGAGGGATAGGACTGGACGACTTGGCTTATTCTGGACGACTCGGCTATATCCATCCCACCTATCCTATTCAATCCTATCCTTCCTATCCTATCCTTCCTTCCTTCCTATCCCATCCTTCCTATTCTGTCCTATCTTATTCTTTCTTCGGATTCTATCATATCCTATTCTATCCTTCCTATCCTATCCTATCCTACCTTCCTCTATCCTACCTTCCTATTTTATTCATCCATCTTTTTTTGGATGACTCAGCTAATTCTGGATGACTCGGCTTATTCTGGATGACTCGGCTAAAAAAGGTATTAATCTGGAGTAAGTATACTTAATTAAGCTGGCATGTAATCAGTCAACACACTGGGGAGTATCGTGATGCAAAAACACAGTGTTCAATTACCACATGTTCTAGTGTTCAAATTGTTAGTCTGTTTATGAAAGAGTTCCATCAGTGCTGTGTTAGAAAAACATTATTTATTCATTGAAGTCACAATAGTGTGTCAAAATCTATGCAAAATCAGTTTTTTTAATCTACCGTAAAACTACCGCATTTTTCAAAATTTTCCTCAAAACTAGTTTTTTTCAAAAATCTACCACAAAAACAACCGTATTTTTTCAAAATCGACTGGAAAACAATCGCATTTTACAAAATCTTCCGCAAAACTACTACAGTTTTTCAAAAATCTACCGCAAAACTACCACATTTTTTTCAAAATATACCGTAAAACTACTGCATTTTCAAAAACTTCCGAAAAAGTACCGTTTTTCAAATATCTACCACAAAAACTACCGAATTTATCAAAATCTACCATAAAACTACCACATTTTTGTCGAAAAATACCGCAAAAACTACCGCATTTTGAAAAAATCTACCGCAAAAATACCGCCATTCAAAAAAAAACTACCGCAAATTTTTGGTCTTAGGTTGGCAGGTATGTACAATATGTTAATTGTTTGTTTGTATCCTTTTATGCGCTATAATGCCGCTAAATGGTCTTGTTGCTTGTTTTTCCCTGTGCTTACACTTGTGCTTCTCACTTGTGCTTATATTTTCAGGGTACACCCCAGTTCTCCGACACCCAGTTCTCCGAAACCCACTTGTCCGAAACCCATTACTCCAAAAAATATAGTCATAATTTACCAGAGAAAGGGGGACGTACTTAAGCTTAGGCCAGTTTCATGCCATGCATTTGGCCAAATTAATGGCATGGACGCACTTGATGTTCATAGATCTCTCTCTTTCACTTTCGTCAAAATATTTCGTCGCATTTAATTTCTTGTCTCTGTATTTTATCAAATCGTAAAACAACAAAACATTCTTAACTTAATCTTGGGATCAACTGGAAACGAAGGCAGGCTGTCCTCGTATCAAAAGGGATGTTCTCCCATTCTCAAGAAGTTTCATTTCCGCATCCTTTTAATTTAATTTCTATTTCTCGAATAGAGTATGTAAGTGAAGAATAAGTTTTGGTTTCAAAAGATGTACATGTCAACTTTACTAAATAAATGCCGATTGGCTTTGGAAAGCTATTTTTCCTTTTATGAACGCCCGTCACCCATTGGAAAAATGTTGTTCCCTCTCAAAAAAGGCCCATGGGCCATAAAGAAAATTGGTTTAAAAATTGTAGACCCTATGTATGTTGTGTAAACGCCTGAGAATAACATAATTTAACTTTGTTTGTTTGAACATCTATATCACCTGTATATGAACTTTCGTAGGCTAAACATTAAACAATTAACGTCTTGACTTAGCATATTTAGCCTAATTTTGCAATGCTGTCAACGTTATTCCAATGTTATGTTGTGATTCGCAGAGGTTGCGACAACGAGATTTGTTTAAAAAAATTGTATTTTTCAAATAAGATCCCCCTGATTTTTTGAGAACTGGGTTTCGGACAACTGGGTTTCGGAAAACTGGGTTTCGGACAACTGGGTTTCGGACAACTGGGTTTCGGACAACTGGGTTTTGGACAACTGGGTTTCGGACAACTGGGTTGACCCCCATATTTTCATAAAGTCTAAAATCACTTATACGAGTATTTATATACAGTTTTATACTGTGCTCATATTATAGAATCTTTTGATGGCTGAAGTGGACCCTACTTTCGTACGACAAAAGTGAGGTTGTCGCTCAGAAAATTCCAGTTTTCAACACTCACCTTTTCGTCCCTATGTCGCTATATTCTGTCCGAAATTTCACACCTACCGATTAGTTAAGTGCTTTATTTTACACATCACTCATTTGATAAAAATATATTCTTTGAAAATCGGATTGTAAGGGTGTTAATCAGGGCAATTCTGTGCAATTTTAATCAAAAATCTTGTTGCTACCTAGAAACGTGCAATTGTGATCTTGTTTTTACCTAGGAACGAGCAACTGTGATGTCACGTCACACTCATGTTAATTCTGGAATCACATGGCAGCCATTTTGGAAATTTCAAAAAAGTTCCCAATTAAAAAGGCTAAATGCTGTTTACAAATTAGAAACTATTGCACAATCAACAAAGGGTTTGTGAAATAATAAGGATATGGATTCAAAATTATGCACATGACAATATATGACTACTAAATGCAGGCAGGGACTTTTAATTGCCAAAAGGTTGAGTGACTTTTTAGATGTCGAAAATCTTATAAGAAGCTGGTCACACATTTGAAATTTCGGAAAAAATCGTGCATTTTTTGTCCATCGACGTTGAAACTCTCCACATTTCTTCAAAACATATAATTTCGCTATAAACAAGTGAAAAGTGTGACTATCTATTGCTACATAGTGATGTTTAGCCAACTCACTGGGGGGTATCCCGATGCAACAACACCGTGTTGTTGCATCAAGATGGCCATGACTTCCGGTGATAGATTTTCGTACGATATTTTGTTTTCCCAATTTAAACCCATTTCTAGGACGAGTTGCTCAATAATCATACACGTGCAGTTAGCTCATGATCTATATTTAAAAAACTCTCATTAGTATGCATGTAGCATCATCAAGAAGCAAGAAATTCGCGGTTTTAATTCCTCACTATTGATGCAACAACACCACTCTGTTTATTATCGATGATGCAACAACACCAATGTGCTGATATAATGTGCCAATATAATGTATCATTGAATATCAAGAGAAACTGTTTTATGTTCTGTTTATAGGTGTTGGTCGGGACATGAATAAAACGCGTGAGTGCGTGGTTCATGAATGAAACGTATTTTGTTTGGTTCCTTAATGTATTTGTCTTTATAAAAGTTAAAAGGATATATACAAGGTAAACTAAATACATAGGCTAAGTATTGAATCCCCGGGAGCCAACCTCATTGATATTGTATCTGAAAAATAAAGATTATTCATTTTCTAAATTAAATCCCCTTGATTGACCGTATCGTATGGAAATTGTTTACAAAGAACTAATATGACTAGACTTTGGAAATTGAACAAGTTCAAGACTCTAGATCTGGACTTTTTTAAGCCGAGTCATACAGAAAAAGATGGATGGATGGATGGATGAAATAGGAAGGAGGGATAGGACAGAATAGGATGAAACGATAGGAGAGAATAGAGAAGAAAGATAGGATAGAATAGCAAGGAAGGATAAGATAGGAAGGAAAGGATAGGAAGGATAGATAGATAGGAAGGAAAGGATATGAAGGATAGATAGGAAGGAACGGATAGGGATAAAAAGGATAGGATAGGAAGGATAGGATAGAATAAGAAGGAACGATAGGATAGAATAGTAGGATAGGATAGGAAGGATGGATGGAAGGATGGATGGAAGGATGGATGGATGGATTTTTCAACATTTTCCTCGCTACTCTTGACTTTCCATCAGATCGATTTTTCTCGAAATTTCAAAACGCCATAACTTCCGAACCGGAAGTCGGATCGAAATTTGGTTTGCAGATTCTGATTCCTGAGAAAATTCTATTCTTCATTCATAACTCAAACGTTAAATTTGGAGAATTTTTTATTTTGACCTACTTTTTGGACACCATATCTCAAAAGTGGGTTAAAATACTTTCTGACGGCAAAAGGCTAGCTAACACTATAAGTACACTCTTGGCTATATGTATACACAATTTCGAAGAATATTATTGAAGTGTAGTGTCAGAATCACAAAAATAAGGAAAACTTTGAATTTGACCTAGATTTTGACCTAGACATTTTTGTGTCCAAATTTTGAAGCTAGATTGCTTTTGAGGTACCCTTCATTTAAAGGCTTTCATTAAATTAGCTGTACTCGGTCGTATATACGTCGTATTTTACACTTCAAAAAAAAAGTTTTCCCATTGACTTAACATGGGGCACCAAATTTAGCGATTTTGAGTTTTCAAAACGCCATGACTTCTGATGAGTGTTGGTTTAATGATATTGCAGTTATACAATGCTATTATATAGAGGTTATTTACTGAGAGGGATTCAATATTGGTTTTATTCCGGGACACATTATGATATTTCCCGAGGGCCCAGGGGAAATCTGGGATTACTGTACCCCTATCAATTTACCTTTTCGGGACCTAAATCCTATTACCTACCTTTTTACTCAATCGGGGAGAACGAATCCAAAGAGAACAATACTTCTACATGTGCGCTGTGCAAGATTTCCAATAGCTTGTCGTGTTTACCGAGAACGAAAGATGTTTGTCCACCATTTTGAATGACACTAACTGGTATCAGGGTCATCAAGCTATGGATAAGGGGTTTATGATAATAGATTGGGTTACCATAGCTTCCAATGTTAAAGGCGATTGAACTATGTTATAAAACAACTTCCAGTACATTATGATATTTAAAAGTATAAATTTTTGAAAATACATATAAAGAATCTTCGCCCGCAGGACGTGTATTTTGAATGCCTGAGAAGAACGCAAATGGGCATATGTCCCCGTTCACAAGTTTGAAAATGTTTTAACATCAAATACATTACTACAACATGATCTAGACAATGTCTATGACTGGTCAAGGGTTTGGGGGCTTAACTTTAAGCCCACGAAAACCAAAGAGATAATTTTTTCCAAATCTATTCAAAATGTAAGAAACTTTCCTATTTTGACCTTGAGCAACAGAATAATTGAAAGAGTAAATTATCATAAACATCTTGGAGTTATCTTAGATAACCACCTTGACTTCAAAGAACATATAGCCCAGCTAAAAGTCAAAATTGATAAAATGCTAAATCCACTTACAGCATTGAAAAATAAAATTTCATCCAAACACCTTGAAAGAATGTACTTATCGTTCATTTTGCCAAAATTAGAATTCGGATCAATCTTTTATAATTGTTCACCACATTATACCCTAAATACCTTGGATAGGTTACACTACAGAGCTGCCTTGTTAGTCTCTGGGACCATTAAGGGCTCCTCTGAAATCAAAGTCTTAAATTCACTTAACTGGAAGACACTAAGTCAGAGAAGAGAAGAAAAAATGGCAACTCTAATGTATAAGGTATCCAAAAACAAGACTCCTAGTTACGTACAATCTATATACAATGAACTTAAAAATCCAGGTACAGAGCGTGTACTTCGTGCCCAGCACGAATATAATATTCCAGCAAAATCTTCAATGAAATTTACAAACTCTCCTGCCATAGCACCAATAAGAATATGGAAAATGATTTCACCTGAAGTTAAACGCAGCCCCTCAATATCAGCCTTCAAGTCAAGGTATAAGAAAACCAAATATAACCAAAACCCTAGGTCTGTGTTGACAACAAAATTGAACTTAAATCGATCTATTGAAATTAAACTAAACCGTTTAAGAGCAGACCTAGCACTTAAATCAGACTTTTTTAGGCATAATTTCAACAACTATCCAGACCCAAGTTGCCCTTGTGGACATGCCCAGCAAACCAAGTCCCATTTATTACTTTACTGCCCTCTATTAACTGGAACAAGGTCAATCTTTACCCAAAAACTACAAGAGCTGCAAAATTTTAACTTTAGAGAATTTGCCAGTCTAAATAGTGTAGATAAAGTCCACACCATACTTTTTGGAGATCATAAGTTCTCAGATAAATGTAATGCTGATATTATGAACCTTACGGCAAATTTTGTTGATTCTATCATTTAGCATTAGCCTCAACATTTCACCACCATCATCATCACTATTGTTATCATCATCTCAACTGTGGCCACTGAGACTCTTATAAACAATACATTTACAATACATGTCTGAAACCATTTATATCAACTTTATTTTGCTACTTTTATTTAATAGGGAGGCCAACAATGTAATTTTACCTCGGCCTTCCTAGTATGTTAAATATTGTTATATAAAATTATGCAAAGAAATAAAACTTAACCTTAAAAAAAAAAAAAAAAAAACGCAAATGGGTACTGGCCCGGTGTTGCAATAGTGGCATTTAAAAATCTGTTCCTCTCGAGATTTATGGCCTTCTGAAATTATACTATTAATTGGTGTTGTTGCATCATTGCTCAAATCTAGAGGAGTGTTGTTGCATCTTCGGTTTGGTGTTGTTGCATCAATAGTGAGGAACTAAAACCGTGAACTTCTTGCTTCTTGATGATGCTACATGTATACTAATGACAGTTTCTTTAAATATAGATCGTGCGCTAACTTCACGTGTATGGTTATTGAGAAACTCGTCCTAGAAATGGGTTTAAATTGGGGAAACAACAACACGGTGTTGTTGCATCACGATACCAGTGCAACTAAGAGGAGGGAAAGCCCCAGAGTTTCAAGATGACAGACATAATTACCTCTCTTGCTTACCACCTTCGTTCGTTCGAATTTTCATCGGCTAGTTATCAAATACTACACTTCGATGGGATGTTATAATTGATATATGCATATTCCGTACACCTTTCTTTATCTTGATGTGAAATGAGAAGCTATGATATTGGTTAACACGCCAGAAATGAACATAATATTATTCGAAGCGTATTTCGAAAATTTTGAAACCGCCATTGATGACGTCATTTGTTTGTCGACTTTTGACCAATCAGCGACCGTGTCATCTCAATGCAGATTTACATTATAAGCGTATGTCATCTTTGAACCCTGGTGTTTCTCCCCCTCTGAGTGCAACTGAAGTGGGCAGTTAATCAATGCGACATTCCTCGTCCAACAACAAACAAGTTAAAATACCAAAATTCTTTGCTCACCTTCCCTGCCTATATCTCTACATTCCCTCGGATAATTCATATATATAGAGATGCTTAAGCCATTTATGAATATGTTTAACTTATTAAATTTTATTTTAATTACTTTATTGCGACAAAAACGATGAATTTCTAAACAGTTAGTTATGAATTGCTCTATTTTCTATAAACCGGAAATTAATGTTTACGGGCTGAATACATTTTTCGACAATGATTGCACTATTCTGAAATCGGGAATTTCAAAGTTATTTCAAATTCTCACGTAAATATAGTAAAATAGAGCTCAAACATGTTTGTAATAACTTGGTAAGTATACTTTTTGGTACTGCCGAACAGACACCTGTCATTTTAATGCACTGTCGTTGAATAAAATGTCCAAGTATAGATGTTTATCACAAATATAACACAGGATCTTGTAGACCCTAGCACGTTTATGATGACTGATATGCTGCCTGATATGGGGCTTTATATAGAGAGACTGATATGTGGCTTTATATAGAGAACATTGAGGGAGAAATCGATCGATAAGGTAAACTATGAAAAATATGTCTGTATAGAAATATTCATGGTCTGATGCTAAGGTAACAGATAAGACGAAAAAAATCATATTTGCAGCGTGTCTACAAGTAATATAATGACATGTAGACTAGTCTAATGTATGTTGCCGCTAAATAATTTTTCTTAAAAATGAGACCCTTATTGTGGAATTCTGAACAATAGTTTTTTTTATTTTTTCATTTACAGAACCCGGAAGTAGTGAAGTGTTATTACCCTTATTATCCCAACGAACGAAGTTCGGTAGGGATATAGTGAAGCCCTCCGTCCGTCCGTCAGTCCGTCAGTCTGTCAGTCCGTCAGTCCGTCAGTCCGTCAGTCAGTCCGTCAGTCCGTCCGTCCGTCCGTCCGTCCGTCCGGAAGATAACTCAAATATTAGTAGACGGATTTTCTTCATATTTGGTGGAAAGATGTATATTGATGAATAGTTTTACGCAAAAAAAAATTTTTTCAAGATGGCCACCGCTTTAAAAATGACGGGACTTTTTCGCAAAAATCATAAATTTTTCATTCTAAACCAAAGTAATTAATATTATTGTTTGAAATTTTGGTAGTATATTCGCAACATCTATCTATTTCACATATATTCCGTGTTTTTCATCCTGACCCCCAGGGGCTGTGTATGGGGGGTCAGGAAAACAGAAATTTTCGCTAATTTTTAGATCTTTCTGAAGTACAGCTTTATTATACTCAAATGAAAGGCAATTAAGAGTAGATTGCAAATATTGTATCTTTTTTCTGATTCGAGCCTCGTAAAATTCAAAATGGCCGTCTAATGTACGATTTCGCAATCATTTTTCGATCCCTTCAAAGTACGGCTATATTATACTCAAATTGAAGGAATTTTGGAGTAGATCACAATTATGCTAGTATTTTTCAGATTTGTACGTCAGAAAATTCAAAATGGCTGCTTTGCAGGAATTCGCAATTCTAAAATCTAAATTTTTCAATTTTAACCAAAGTAATGAGTATAATTGATTGGAATTTGGTAATTGATATTTTGTTCGTTGGGATTTGCTACTCCGCGGAGTTGCCATTATCTAGTTAGTATCCTCTAATAATCACAGGCTGGTATCGAAATATTTGTCCGCTGTGACGGAGCATGCTATTTCTCATAAAAACACTAAGATAACTCCACGATTTATTTTTTAACTTATATGTTTCATTATACCAAAGGAAATTACTTACTCCATGCAATGGATGTATCATTTGCTGGTAACTTTCACTTCTGTTTGAAGTCCAATTACGCTGGGATGAAAAGCTATTGAAAATGGCACCGAAGTATCATACTTCAAAATGTACCATTTCTTGTTTAACTTTCTAATGGCACGATATAGCGACACGATAATATTTACACATGGTTTCAGCATTACTATAAAGGTATAAATGAGATGTTGATGTATTTGGTCTTTTTAATTCTTTTATAAAAAATAATGTTTATTTTTTTTGTTCGCTGTGACGGAGCAGTTGCAAATGTAAACTGTGAAAATGCTCTGTCACAGCGGACAAAAAATATTCGTATTATTTTTTATAAAAAAATTAAAAAGACGAAATGCGTTAATATCTCATTAATACCTTTACAGTTATGCTGAAAACATATTTTAATATTATCGTGTCACTATATCATGCCATTGAAAAGTTTAAAAAGAAATGGTACATTTTAGAGTTTGATACTCTGGCGCCGTTTTCAATAGCTTTTACTCCTAGCATTATTGGACTTCAAACAGAAGTGAAGGTTACCCGCAAATGATATACCCATTGCATGGAGCAAGTAATTTTCCCTGATGTAACGTAACATATGAGTTAAAAAATAAAGTGTGAAGCATTCTTAGTGTTTTTATGAAAAATAGCATGCTCTGTCACAGCGGACAAATCTTTCGATACCAGCCTGTGATAATGTGATTGATTTTCTTTTCTGTAATGGGCTTGCAACCAATTGCAGCACATGCTTCTTTGTAGGCAAAATATACTGTTCCAACTGATAGGGATTCTTTCACGTTTATGTCTTTGTTAATGGAAAAAGACTCTTCCAACCTGAAATGACACAAATAATAGTTGCATGTACAAGGGCCTTAAAACATGATTGTTTAAAATGTATATTGCACATAAAAATGCATGGGGACATATATATTCGAAGCATTCTGGATATCTTACTTTATGGGTTGGGATGTACACATGGATTTAACATGGAGGAAAGGTTAATTTTGTTTTAAAACGACAGGGCATAGATACATTTCCAAGTACTTCATGTATTTAAAGCCAACTCACAGACTTGAATCATATTTTTGCTTATTGCAATTTTTTCATTTCATGAAATGTGTGTATGTGGGGGGGGGGGGGGGTGTAGAGCCCCAAAATGTACTAGACTAGATCTATACTTAGGGGGGGGAAAGATCTGATAGGAAAACATTTTGAGTGCAAGTGTTGGGTGAACAGGTAGAAATAACAGAGGTAAAGTCATTAGACCCACTTAAAGTACAGCGGCCCCTCCCCCCCCCCCCCCCCAGCCAAAAATTCTTTCAAAATCATGCAGTTTTTCTCTGAGCACTTTTTACATGATTTTGTCAAAAAGACCCCCCCCCCTTGGTAAAACTGCCCCCCCCTGGTGGTTCCTGGCTACGGGCCTGATTGCCATTAGCCTGGTCAGAATTTTATAATTAGGGTCTCATTTTGAAAAAAAATCTTTCTTCTGTAAGATAAATGTCACTGAGTGCCTAACATTTAGATAAATTTAAATAAAAAAGTTTCTTTACTTTCTGATACCCATGCTAATGACCGTTAGGTGCTATACAACCAAAACTCACCTTTATAGCGATTTCTCCTCAAATCTTTCGCCAATTAACTTGTCCTTTACTTGTAGAATCATTGACCCACTAGAGATTTGTAGGGATGCTGCGCTTATGCTGTTCAGCCTGTAAAAATATGTTATTTTGCCGTTTTAAAAATGAAATGTGATTTCGTAGATATTTTGGCATCTTCTAGCGGCCATCTTTCTTTGTATAATTCGGAGTGAATAATTATGATGTAAATTTTGAACCAATCAAATTGCAGAACCCCGGAGAAGAGCGAAATTCAAAATTTTTTAAAAACCAAAACATTTAGTTTATTTGCTAGAAATGCACCTATAATGCATATTGTTACCTGGTAAGAAGATGTTTTTGTTATTTAAACCAGCTGATATATATCTAGTTCACTGTCATGGCTTGAAGCTGTCAGAATATATATAAATCGTATTTCTAGGATCCATGCTAAAAAATTTAAATCAATCTGAATCTTCTCCCAGGCTGGCCAATTCCCGGGGGCCAATTGCAGCAGAATATACCAATACGCGATAACGTTTAGTTTTCGTTCAGTTTAGTTAACTATCGTTTGAAGAGCTCTCGTGTACGGTACAACTTCGTCTACCTCCGGGTTCTTTCCCATTGGATTACACAGGGGTGCTATTTTCAATGCCGCACTGCGACTTTATTAAACATTTATGTAGAGTTGCATTTGCACAAATGATAGGTATGTATGTAATTAAGATATATAACAAGGCTTTTTGAACTGTAATCCCCAAATCCGAAGAAATCTGTAGCTGAAAATGCCGTCCAATTCCAGTGACGTCACTGATTTTCCAAATTGCTCAGACTTCATCGAAGATCGAAAAAATATCAATAATGTTACTTCGAATCTCCGATTATCTTTCTGATTATTCAATAGATTGGATCATATAACTATACTTGAGGGGTGATGGAAGATCAGAAGCTGAGAAACGTTCAGAGTATTCGACTCGTTCGGCGGGCCAATGAAAAGTTGTCCCTTCAAGCGATGCATCATGGGAGATATTTATGAATTCTTATCGCGAATAGGAGTATTGCAGGCTAATGGCAATCAGGCCCGTAGCCAGGATTCACCAGGGGGGGGGGGGGCGGTTTTACCATGGGGGGGGCTTTTGCCAAGGGGGGGAGCTTTATGACAGTTTTGGCAAAAAAGGGGGCGCTGTACTTTAAGTGGGTCTAATGACTTTACCTCTGTTATTTCTACCTGTTCACCCAACACTTGCACTCAAAATGTTTTCCTATTAGATCTTTCCCCCCCCTAAGTTTAGATCTAGTCTAGTACATATTGGGGCTCTACACCCCCCCCCCACATACACACATTTCATGAAATGAAAAAATTGCAATAAGCAAAAATATGATTCAAGTCTGTGAGTTGGCTTTAAATACATGTAGTACTTGGAAATGTATCTATGCCCTGTCGTTTTAAAACAAAATTAACCTTTCCTCCATGTTAAATCCATGTGTACATCCCAACCCATAAAGTAAGATATCCAGAATGCTTCGAATATATATGTCTCCATGCATTTTTATGTGCAATATACATTTTAAACAATCATGTTTTAAGGCCCTTGTACATGCAACTATTATTTGTGTCATTTCAGGTTGGAAGAGTCTTTTTCCATTAACAAAGACATGAACGTGAAAGAATCCCTATCAGTTGGAACAGTATATTTTGCCTACAAAGAAGCATGTGCTGCAATTGGTTGCAAGCCCATTACAGAAAAGAAAATCAATCTCATTATTAGAGGATACTTTACGAATATTCGTTCACATTTCCACAGACTTCCCTCGGGGGCCCGTGTTACACTTCATGAATATTTAACATTCAAGCAACTTGCACTTGTCTCCAAAGAAAGCTCACATTTGTCTTTGTCGCCTGACTTTGTTAAGAATGCTGCATCTCCCCAATGGACAGTGACTTTAAATGATGATGCCAATGTAACTGCTGTACGCACCACAGATACTTTCATCAATGACAATCCTGTAACAAAGAAGATTATATTCGATCATGATTCACCCAATTGGAGACTAGTGATTAATGATAAACTGATTAATTTGGAGGATTTACATATATCTGACAAATACAGCCAATCTGAAAGATCACTTAACGCTATTTTCAAAATTGTGGACAATTTATGTATTTGCATTGGAATAGAGCAACCAAAAACTCTGAAGAAACTTGTTTTTCGAACTTTAGACAGGTTCCGAGAGGGCACAGGAAAAAATAGGTGGCGGCTAAGGTCTGGAATGTGTCCTCAAGTGGTAGATTTTTCAAGATCTTCCTCAACTTGTGTTTTGTGTTCCCAGTATAGAGTAAGAGTTGCCCCTCAACCAGAGCCCTCTGATGAAACACCAGAACTAATCAACAAGCTGTTTCCAAATATTCCAGAGCCAATGAAGAAATTATTACTAGATCAAAGCAAAAACTGTAATGTAGAACACTCAACTCAAAATAGATGGTCCGATGAAGTGAAAAGGATCTGTCTCACAATGTGGACGTCAAGTAAAATAGACTATGAATTACTACATTCATCTGGTCTATTTGTCCTTCCATCACCAGCACTGTTATATAAAATAAAAAAAAGTGAGTAGCTTCTTGGCGCAAAATGTTGACTAAGCCAAATAAACCACGTGCTTTTATTTATTTATATAGACCACAGCAGTCGGCATTCATTCATAATATCTATTTATGATTTAAAATATATTTGGGCAGTAAAACATTAAAAAAAACAAAAGATAAATATATATTTTTGTTTATTAACTATTTACATAATTTTTAATAGCCCCTTTCTATATAGAATTATGAAAGGTCAGACGGGTCAAGTTTACTACGTCATTATTTCAAGATGGCGGCAGAGAATCGTTCAAACAGTCGTATTTTTAAAATTAGTATGCTTTTACACATTTTTGAACAATAATAGTACAATTGGAACAGCGTATACCATTGCGTATGTGTGTATTACAACTGGATCAAACCAGAGATCAATCGACGAAACATTGAGGGAGAAATCGATCGATAAGGTAAACTATGAAAAATATGTCTGTATTACTTAGTTTACACAAAGCTATCTCCTGAGAGATCTATCTAAAGATGGCTATGTGCAAATATAGTAATGTCTGTATAGGACTTCATGGTCTGATGCTAAGGTAACAGATAAGACGAAAAAATCATATTTGCAGCGTGTCTTTACAAGTAATATAATGACATGTATGTTGCCGCTAAATAATTTTTCTTAAAAATGAGACCCTTATTGTGGAATTCTGAACAATAGTTTTTTTTATTTTTTCATTTACAGAACCCGGAAGTAGTGAAGTGTTCTTCCCCTTTTATTACTTCTTATAGGGCCTATCATAGTGCTCATCTCATATCATAGTGCTACATGTCTCTGTGAAAGGAGTTGGTTCAGATTTTACTACATGCTCGCTGAGATGCTCATGCTGATGCCTAAGGACAAGGGAGCTTTGCTAAAGAAATTTTCAAAGTGGCGGCTGAATTTTAAAATGGCAGCCATTCTGGCATGCTTAGAAATAAATGAATTCTGCTGGCATTCATGATGGGGTCTTCAGAGACCTCCAAGAATAATGCATTTTCTGCTATGGACCAGTAGGAAGGAACACCTTAAAAAAAGATCGTTTGAATCTGACAATTCTGTGCACAGTTAAAGGCACTTGAATCTTCCATATCATGAAAAAATTGAAAAGGAAAAATCCCATGTTAGATCGCCATAGGGAATTTCCGGGTTGGAGTTATGCCATGGTACAAACACCACTGCAATCAGAATAAAAAGATCTGTTAATTCAGATTTTTAAATTGAAATCTCAATAAAAAATTAAATGCTAAAATAATTCTGTTTTGTAAAAAATCCAAATACTTCAATTATGATGTCACAATGACACTATCTCATTTGCATATTCTCATTTTTTCCAACAAAACAAACATAAAATATGGGTCTAGCCCTTCAAAATGATATATAACTTATTGTGTCTTGCTTCCTTACCTTGCTTTGTCATGTTTATTTTTTAGAGATGGCAGACCTACCTTCTAATACTTCCCCCAAATGGCGTCGTCCATCAGATGTAATGAAAGTGCGGAAAGTCAGGAAAAAACTAGCTACAACTCATCAACCTAAAGCAAAAAATAAGTCTAGAGAACCAAAAACCTCTGAATCTCAAAATGCAGGGAAAAGATCAAACCCATTCAGTTGCCCACCAAAGAGAAAGGTACAAACGTCAGATGAAGATGCTGACGGTGGAGGCAGTATAGATGGCGCCATAGGTAGTGATTTGTTCAGTATGTTGAACAAGCGTCCAAGACTTGACATACAGGTACGTAAAGTCCTATTAGCGAGATCAATAGTGCAAAAATAGTTCATTCATGGAACGAAGCGTGAAACTTTCCACATATCATCAGAATACAATTCCCTTTGATTTAAGAGCCAGAGCCATTTTTGTGGTCCACTAGAATGATCAAAAAATAGTAAGTACCCCATCCCACCAAATCCCATGGGGGTGGGGAGATATCGAAATATTTTTTTCATAAAAAAAATTCTTTGAATATGGTCATACTACAGTTTTAGAGTGCTATTTTCATGGTAAAGAAATTTTGCAAACATAACAAGATGATTTATCATCGATTTTCATCATTGTTAAAGACTAATCATGGGCAACGCCCACTTTTCATACCTTGAACATTTAGGTTATTAAATCTCTATTATGGGTTGAACAAATGAATGTAATTCAGTTTTCTGGATAACACCAGATACCATTTTGATGTTAGGTGCTATAATTAATCTTTGCATTTGACTTCTTAAAGGCTTACACCATATCACAACCCTGTTTAGAAGAAGAAAGCAAGCAACAAATGTCCCAGATCTACAACTTGTACCCACTGTTCTATGTACATGTATGTCGAGTCTCTATACTCTCCTGAAGAGAACCTATGCTACAGACACAACTGTCCAGAATTTAGATGATGATGTGCTTAAACAGTTTGATGCCAAGTTAAATACCAAGACCTGATCCATGAAGCCGAGAACAAAGGATGGCAAGCAAGACTTTACCCTGTAGAAGTAGGATGCAGGGGTTTCCCAGCTGTGTCTCTGCGATCAATGTTTAAAGACATTGGTGTACATCCTAGACAACTCAGACAAGCAATGCGTGAAATAGGAGCAGCTGCAGAATCATGCTCCAAATGGCTCTGGATGCGAAGAGGCGACAAATGGGCCCACCAATAGCATGGCCATTATAACCAATGAAGAAGCTTTCCATCTATTCTTCAAGAGATAATCAGTGTCTTATGGCTTTAGTCTCTGGAATGGAAGTGTTGGTACCATAAAAGATCTTAAACCAGCCAGAGGTCAGTCGCAAGCCTGACGACAGAGACAGCCCACACTACACAAAGCTCCATCCCACATCAATCCATGAACAGTCCTTTAGATGTAGCAAAGCACTAGATGTTTAAACAATGAACCCTGCATGGCAGTGACGATGGGGAAAGGCCCATTGACTACCAGGAAAGACTGGTTGATTCTGGATAATTCCAGAAACGCTGAATATCAGCAAGCTTGGCACTGGGGCCAGCAACCCTGTACCATAGCTAACCCAATCTTGCTACGAGTATCATAGAAGTCCTTAATAGGCCTCGAAACAGACAGAATATGACGGATTTGGACCCAAGCACACGTGACACGGACAAGAATAGGGCTGCGAATACAGACGATGACACAGAGACCAGGCGTCGATGCGACAGCTGTGGTGGTATCTTTAAGAACGAGAAAGGCGTTAAGATACACCTAGGTAAAACGAAGCTGAATTGCAAGGAGAAGCTAAAACAGCGTATAGCAGGAAATACTACAAAGAGAGCTGCTAGTGAACCGGAGGAAGACAGAGGCCAGGAGGCAAACCATAGTGCCACTGACTTCCATGTTGAAGTTGATCCAAGCCAAGTAGCTAGTCAAGTTAAAGGAAAAGAAACACCAGTTCTAGAGAGAAAACCACGGCTGAAGTATCCACCAGCAAAAGACGCCAAGTGGAAGGAGCTAGATGACAACCTAGACACTATTCTAGAGAGCACTCTTAGAGGAAGTGCTACCAGCAAGATCACTACAATGACGAGTATAGTGTTTGAAGAGGCAGAGGAGCTCTTCGGTGTTACAGAGACGTCTCGTAAAGGCAAACGACAATCTGGCCCAAGCCGAAGACAAAGAAAGATCACCTCCCTACGAAGAGAGATGCGACAGCTGAGAAAGCAGTTTCGCAAAGCAGATGCAGAAGCCAAACAAGGCTTGAAGCAGCTGTTGACTGAACTCCACAAAGACATTATCAGATTACGACAAGCAGAGAACCTCCGTAAGAAAGCTCGTGAGAAAGCCAAAGCACGTAAGGCATTTTTTGGAAACCCTTTTAGTTTTGTGTCAAATCTACTAGGCAAACCAAAGAATGGCCAGCTCCAGTGTTCCAAGACAGAAGCAGAAGAAAGCATCAAAGTAGCCCACAGTGATCCTCAACAGAATACCCCTCTGGGAGAATGTCCTTACCCTTTACCTTGTCAAGAACCAGAAATCCCATTCAAGCTATCAGACATCACATTTCAAGAGGTCCAAGACATAGTCCGACACGCTAGAGCAGCATCCGCCCCAGGTCCCTCAGGTATAACGTACAGGATATACAAGAACTGTCCAAAGCTCCTCAAAAGACTTTGGAAACTTATCCACGCCATCTGGAAGAAGAAAGAGATTCCCACCTGCTGGACATATGCTGAGGGCTGCTTTGTTCCCAAAGAAGATAAGTCTAGTTCTCTTGATCAGTTCAGGGAGATTTCTCTATTGGACGTTGAGGGGAAAATCTTTTGGTCAGTTGTAGCAAAGAGAATGACAAGCTTTTTGATTAATAACAACTACATTGATCCAAGTGTACAGAAAGGTGGCATATCTGGTTATTCCGGATGTATAGAGCATACTTCGGCCATCAGCCAGCTAATCAAAGAAGCTCAGCAACAGAAGTCTACTTTAGCAGTTGTGTGGCTAGACTTGGCCAAGGCTTATCCCAACGTCCCCCATCAACTCATACAGACAGCACTTTCTCATTATCACATCCCAGAGGAAGTCATCAACCTAACAACGAACCACCTGAGTAACATGAAGATGCGATTTACCACAAATAGCTTCACCACAGCATGGCAACCACTAGAGAAAGGCATCATGGCCGGCTGTACAATATCAGTGATACTCTTCATAGCTGCAATGAATATGCTTCTGAAGGTTGGAGAGTCTCGATGCAAAGGACCAAAAGCAAAGGATGGCACGAGACACCCATGCTGCAGAGCATTCATGGATGACATCACAGTTATGACTCAGTCTATCCCTGGCATGCGGTGGATTCTTACAAGTCTTGAGGATATGGCTACATGGTCCCGTATGCAATTTAAACCCAAGAAGTCACGCAGCATGACCATTGTCAAAGGAAGGCCTACTGAAAGACACACTTTTAACATCCAAGGAGCAGTAATCCCATCTATTCAAGATGAACCCATAAAATGCTTAGGGAAGGTCTATGATGAGACCTTAAAAGATAGCAACACAACCAAAGAGGTATGCAAGGAACTAGAAAGGTGGATGGAAACTATCAACAAGAGCTACCTACTAGGGAAATTTAAGGTGTGGTGCTTCCAGTTTGGAGTCATCCCCCGGTTACAATGGCCTTTCTCCTTGTATGAATTCCCTCTATCCCTCATCAACTCCATGGAAAGATTGTGCAACAGATTTTTGAGGAAATGGTTAGGAGTACCTCCAAGCTTCAGCTCCTGCAACCTCTACAGCACATCTTCAAAGTTGTCCCTCCCAATTTCTTCACTGGTAGAGGAATTCAAGGTGTCCAAAGTCAGGACAATCACCACCCTCAGAACATCCAAGGATACCAAAGTCCTTTCAGCAGGAGAAACCATATCAACTGGAAGGAAATGGAAACCCCAACAAGCAATATCAGAAGCTGAAGAACGAGAGCGACATGAACAGTTAGTAGGAGTTGTTTGCCAAGGTCGCCTGGGCCTAGGCAATTATGGCTCCAAGCTTCTAGATAAGACCCCGAAGGGAAGGAAAGACCGTCTGGTAAGGCAAACAAGAAAAGCTCAGGAAGAAGAACGCCTTGTAAAAGCTGTAGGGCTCTCCAAGCAGGGATCCTGGACCCAATGGGAGACAATCCAGGATAGGTCTCCTACATGGAAAGATCTTTGGACAGTAGACCAAGCAAGCCTCAGCTTCATATTGCGAGCATTTACAGACCTTTTACCAACCCCAATGAATCTCAACACTTGGGGGCTCGAGAATGACAACACATGTCTTCTATGCAAAAGACCAAGATGTACCCTCAATCACATCCTATGCAGCTGCCAGACAGCTCTAGGTGATGGCCGGTACAGATGGCGACATGACAAAGTCCTACAGAAAATAGCCGAATGGGTTGACAGATCAAGGATAAACAACAACGAGCAGTCAGTCCCAAAAAAGCCCATGTTCACAGCATTTCAGCAGGAGGGAAAACAACCAACTCCAGTGACCAAAAACGCAGATAAATCAATTCTTCTCTCAGCACTGTCTAAAGCCTCAGATTGGGAACTACATGTCGATCTGGACAGGAAATTAGTCTTTCCCCAGAACATAGCAGCAACAACACTACGTCCCGACATGCTACTCCTATCTAAAGCCACCAAGACAATACTAGTAATAGAACTAACAGTACCATGGGAGGAAAGAATAGATATTTCCCACCAACTCAAGTACAACAAATACCAAGACCTGATCCATGAAGCCGAGAACAAAGGATGGCAAGCAAGACTTTACCCTGTAGAAGTAGGATGCAGGGGTTTCCCAGCTGTGTCTCTGCGATCAATGTTTAAAGACATTGGTGTACATCCTAGACAACTCAGACAAGCAATGCGTGAAATAGGAGCAGCTGCAGAATCATGCTCCAAATGGCTCTGGATGCGAAGAGGCGACAAATGGGCCCACCAATAGCATGGCCATTATAACCAATGAAGAAGCTTTCCATCTATTCTTCAAGAGATAATCAGTGTCTTATGGCTTTAGTCTCTGGAATGGAAGTGTTGGTACCATAAAAGATCTTAAACCAGCCAGAGGTCAGTCGCAAGCCTGACGACAGAGACAGCCCACACTACACAAAGCTCCATCCCACATCAATCCATGAACAGTCCTTTAGATGTAGCAAAGCACTAGATGTTTAAACAATGAATGATGAATGGTGTGCTGACCAAGTGCCTAAACAGTTTGATGAATGTCGTGCTGACCAACAGAATGTACCAGTCTTCAAGCTTTGGTTTCTGAATATTCAAATTGAAATACTGTGCCTTGACTATGTGAGGGCTATAGGACAGGAGAATTTTCCTCTTTATTTCCAGATGGTTTCTCTTTGATTTTCATAGTTGTTAAAGACTAGTCATGGGCGACGCCCACTTTTCATATGCTGAACATTTAGGCTATTAAACCTCTTTCATGGGTTGAACCAGAACCAGAAGGGCCACCACAGTCACAGCCTGCAGTCTCTAAATTCTCAAGAGAGCCTATACTACATACACAGCTGTCCAGAATCTAGATAATGAAGTGATAAACAGTTTGACGAATGGTGTGCTGACCAACAGAATGTACCAGTCTTTAAGTTTTGGTTTCAGATTATTTGAATCAAAATACTGTGCCTTAACTAAGTGTAGGCTATTAGAGAGGGAAATTTTCCTCTTTATCTCCAGTCAATTAGCAAGCTTGTCACCTGGTTTTTAGTTTTTTGACCTTGTCAATATGCTTTCTGAGTACCAGTTCAGTACCATCATCAGAACTCAAAGTTCAACACTACACCAGCAAAGGCTGGGAAAATTATTTGGGTGCCAGTGTAGAAAACATTGCCCCAAGCTTCAGATGCATGCCAAACGCTAGTAAAGTGCTCTCATTAAAAGCCAAAATAATGTATCATTAATTGTGAATTATATATTATTATATCTTTATATCTAAAAGGGATGTGGCCTTTCAATTGACTTATCATCTTAACATGAATAACTGACTTAATCTTATCAATTTTATTCAGCCTTATTAGGTAATTTTCCTATTCATAATAGAAGACTCATTAACTTGTATATTAACATGTTGATAAAGTGGGCGTCGCCCTTGGTCAGGCTTTAATAATGAATATCCATGAGAAATACGGATGCAATCTTGAAAATTGTTTTTATACACTGAAAGTAACATACTAAAAATGAATATAGATCATATTCAAAAAAATCAACAAAAAATACTTCCCTCCCCTCCCCTCCCCTCCCCTCCCCTCCCCTCCCCTCCCCTCCCCTCCCCTCCCCTCCCCTCCCCTCCCCTCCCCTCCCCTCCCCTCCCCTCCCCTCCCCTCCCCTCCCCTCCCCCCAGGATTTGATGGGAGGGGGCATTTGCAATTTTTCATATATAATCAGGACAACATTCTTGATTTAAGAGCCAGAGCCATTTTTGTGGTTCACTAGAATGACAAAAAGCTGTTGTTTGTTGTTGCATTTTACTAGCATTTGGCATGCATCTGAAGCTAGGGCAATGTTTTCCACACTGGCACCCAAATTATTTTCCCAGCCTTTGTGGTAATGGATTTCCAACTCAATTGTGAGGGTGAAGCGAGGACTGACATAGGTATAATTGTCTGGAACCAACTTATGCAACTTATGGTGGGATGTTCTCAATTTGAGTTGCAGCATTGCAGCATTTACAGTTATTTCATTGTTGTCTCTATTGTATAAAATCACAACAAAATGTTCAATGATTGGAATCCAGATATAGTGTCTGAACCTGTGGGGGCATGAAATAAGGGGAGACACATCGTCCTACCATGTCAAAGGGCAGCTGCAATTTCATGAAGTGAGATATCTATAATTTTTTTACTTTTCCAAAAGCTATCCATTTTTGAACTTTGAGTTCTGATGATATACTGAACTGGCACTTAGCAAACATATTGACAAGGTCAAAAAACAAAAAAACAGGTGATAAGATTGCTAATTGACTGGAGATAAAGAGGGAAATTTCCCTCTCTGATAGCCCACACTTAGTTAAGGCACGGTATTTCGATTCAAATAATCAGAAACCAAAACTTAAAGACTGGTACATTCTGTTGGTCAGCACACCATTCATCAAACTGTTTATCACTTCATTATCTAGATTCTGGACAGCTGTGTATGTAGTATAGGCTCTCTTGAGAATTTAGAGACTGCAGGCTGTGACTGTGGCGGCCCTTCTGGTTCCGGTTCAAACCATGAAAGAGGTTTAATAGCCTAAATGTTCACTGGTGCTGGTACATTCTGTTGGTCAGCACACCATTCATCAAACTGTTTGGGCACTTGGTCAGCACACCATTCATCAAACTGTTTAAGCACATCATCATCTAAATTCTGGACAGTTGTGTCTGTAGCATAGGTTCTCTTCAGGAGAGTATAGAGACTCGACATACATGTACATAGAACAGTGGGTACATGTTGTAGATCTGGGACATTTGTTGCTTGCTTTCTTCTTCTAAACAGGGTTGTGATATGGTGTAAGCCTTTTAGCAGTCAAATGCAAAGATTAATTATAGCACCTAACATCAAAATGGTATCTGGTGTTTTCCAGAAAACTGAATTACATTCATTTGTTCAACCCATGATAGAGATTTAATAACCTAAATGTTCAAGGTATGAAAAGTGGGCATCGCCCATGATTAGTCTTTAACAATGATGGAAATTAATGATAAATCATCTTGTTATGTTTGCAAAATTTCTTTACCATGAAAATAGCACACTAAAACTGTAGTATGACCATATTCAAAGAAAATTTTTTATGAAAAAAATATTCCTATATCTCCCCACCCCCATGGGATTTGGTGGGAGGGGGTACTTACTATTTTTTGACCATTCTAGTTGGACCACAAAAATGGCTCTGGCTCTTAAATCAAAGGGAATGGTATTCTGATGATATGTGGAAAGTTTCATGCTTCGTTCCATGAATGAACTATTTGCCTGTTTTCTTGCACTATTGATCTCACTATATAGGGAAACTGGGTTAGCATTATATTAAAAGATTAAATAAATTACTTTTAAGTGAGTTAAATGAAACCTGTTTAAAGGGAGGTGTTCTGCTTTAAGAGGTTTATTTTACATTTAAGTTAATGGTTATCAGAATTTGAAAAGGTTCTACTTCTAAAGGTGTTCTGCTTTAAAGGCCCCGTATAAAGTTTAAACCACTTTGGCTTATATTGTAGTCTTACACAATGTTATCAAAGTGTGATATGTGAAACTATTTTTTCTAATTTCAAAAAGTGGTTTTTGAAGGACTTTTTGTTTGAAAAATGTGGATTTATTTAAATCTGACTTTTAGAGGTCACACATATCTTTTAATAAACGATAATTCACACCAATGCATAGTATTTATCCCCACTTGTTTTTCGCTGAAAAAATTAAGAAAAATGGTTCATAATTAAGCACGAAAAATCTCTTAAATAACATTTTGACAAATTAAATAACTTCATGACAATAAGTAAATGAATGAAAAAAACATATTTTCGAACTTTACATGGGGACTTTAAAGGTTTCACTGTACTGTTATCTTAAAATTGAATAATGTCATCTTTGATTAGGGAAATTAAGAATTCCTTTAATCATCAACCAAAATTGTTTATAGTGCTAAATGTAATGTATTGTAAATGTCCATTATGCTTTAACTCACACTTCATGCATTGCATATTGAGATTGAATTATCTGGAAAGTTCAATCACATTTTGATTATTGCATCACTTGATTGAGTACAATGTTTTTACAGGAATCATCAGCTGACAAAAACCCATCAGTAACAACAGATACAAGTGTGAATAGCTTGCCTGAAACATTATTTTCAAATACATCCAGGAATACAGTCACCAAAGAAACAAACGAAGCAGAGAAGTTGGTCTACAACAAGGATATGATCTGTGACTGGAGTTTAAAGATGAAAATAAGGTAAACCAATAGAAGCACCTAGTTATTACTTCATCAAAATTGTAGAGAAATGCCAACCATGCAGATAGAAACTTTTATTTTTATTTTTATTAATTTAATACAATAACAAATTCGTAGAGATTGAATGAATTATATTCAGTTTGGAAGTACTCTTTGCAAGTTATACACAAGTGCATGCAGATCTAAAAATACACCTGAGATCTCTTTTGCAAGTTATACACAAGTACATGCAGATCTAAAAAATACACCTGAGATCTCTTTTGCAATTTATACGCAAGTACATGTAGATCTAAAAAATACACCTGAGATCTCTTTTGCAAGTTATACACAAGTGCATGCAGATCTAAAAATACACCTGAGATCTCTTTTGCAAGTTATACACAAGTACATGCAGATCTAAAAATACACCTGAGATCTCTTTTGCAAGTTATACACAAGTGCATGCAGATCTAAAAATACACCTGAGATCTCTTTTGCAAGTTATACACAAGTACATGCAGATCTAAAAAATACACCTGAGATCTCTTTTGCAAGTTATACGCAAGTACATGTAGATCTAAAAAATACACCTGAGATCTCTTTTGCAAGTTATACACAAGTACATGTAGATCTAAAAAATACACCTGAGATCTCTTTTGCAAGTTATACACACACCTGCATGAGATCTCTTTTGCAAGTTATACACAAGTACATGTAGATCTAAAAAATACACCTGAGATCTCTTTTGCAAGTTATACACAAGTACATGCAGATCTAAAAAATACACCTGAGATCTCTTTTGCAAGTTATACACAAGAACATGTAGATCTAAAAAATACACCCGAGATCTCCCGTTTGAAATACCAGGTTAACATTATGATAGATAATATTCAATATCAAAATTGTAGAGAAATGCCAACCATGCAGATAGAAACATTTTTTTATCGCACTTTGAAAAAGTGCTATATTGTCGTCGTCTTGTGCTGTTGGGCGGGCGGCACATAAACCAAATCTTGTCATCAAATTTTCAGGATAACTGCTTACCTGTTCAACTTGAAATTTTTACAGATGCAAGAGCAGACTAGTACCAAGATCTGATTAGGTTAAGGGCATGCTGGGTAAAATACGTGGTGGCCATTTTGAATTTTTCAACAAATCTTGTCATCAAAATTCCAGGAAAACCACTTATCCATTCAACTTGAAATTTTAACAGATGCAAGAGCAGACTATTGCCAAGATCTGATTAGGTTTTGGGTATGCTGGCTGAATTACATGGTGGCCATTTTGAAGTTTTCAATTTGGCGGCCATTTTGAATTTTTCAACTTGCTCCAAATTGACCAAATTTCTTTTTTAAAAACATCTACAAGTTCTCAGAAGTTCAAATCTGACCTTAGATTTCAGATTTGACCTTTCATTCACCTTCAGTGACCTTGAAAAGGTCAAAAAAGTTGATTTTCTAAATTGATATTTTGGAATTTAAATTTAGGTCAGCTTAATTACAAAACACACTGAGGTCTGAAAAAGTTAAATTTTCAAGGTCGAAGGTCAAGGTCATTAAACTAGGTCACAAATGATGATATCCAAGTTTCTCAAAGTTTGAGACTACAAATCAATTCTTGTCATCAAAATTCCAAGAAAACCGCTAACCTGTTCAACTTGAAATTTTTACACATGCAATAGCAGACTAGTGCCAAGATCTGATTAGGTTTAGGGCATGATAGGTAAACTATGTGGCGGCCATTTTGAATTTTTCAACAAATCTTGTCATCAAAATTCCAGGAAAACCACTTATCCATTCCACTTGAAATTTTTACAGATGCAAGAGCAGACTATTGCCAAGATCTGATTAGGTTTTGGGTATGCTGGCTGAATTACATGGTGGCCATTTTGAAGTTTTCAATTTGGCGGCCATTTTGAATTTTTCAACTTGCTCCAAATTGACCAAATTTTTTTTTAAAAACATCTACAAGTTCTCAGAAGTTCAAATATGACCTTAAATTTCAGATTTGACCTTTCGTGGACCTTCAGTGACCTTGAAAAGGTCAAAAATTTGATTTTCTAAATTGATATTTTGGATTTAAAAGGTCAGCTTAATTACAAAACACCTACTGAGGTCTGAGGATATCAAGTACTATAGAGGTGATTAACTTTTGGGCGGCCATCTTGTTTTCTAGTGGCCATTTTGAAGGTTTTTCGAAAAATCTTGTCATCACCATTTCAGGAAAACCGCTCATCGGATTTCCTTCAAATTTACACAAATGATAGAGGATATCAAGTACTAGAGCTGATTAACTTTTGGGCGGCCATCTTGTTTTCTAGTGGCCATTTTGAAGGTTTTTCGAAAAATCTTGTCATCACCATTTCAGGAAAACCGCTCATCGGATTTCCTTCAAATTTACACAAATGATAGAGGATATCAAGTACTAGAGCTGATTAACTTTTGTTTTCTGGTGGCCATTTTGAAGGTTTTTTGAAAAATCTTGTTTCTTGTTCTTGAAATTTGTAAACATAATAGGAGAACAGTTTTCCTGGTTCATAGTGTCTGCCTATTTGATGGTGTGATCTCGTTCACGTCCTGTGCCTTGTTTAATTTAATACAATAACAAGTTCAAAGAGATTGAATGAATTATATTCAGTTCGGAAGTACTCTCTTTTGCAAGTTATACACAAGTACATGTACATGTAGATCTAAAAATACACCTGAGATCTCTTTTGCAAGTTATACACAAGTACATGTAGATCTAAAAATACACCTGAGATCTCTTTTGCAAGTTATACACAAGTACATGTAGATCTAAAAAATACACCTGAGATCTCTTTTGCAAGTTATACAGAAGTACATGCAGATCTAAAAAATACACCTGAGATCTCTTTTGCAAGTTATATGTAAGTACATGTAGATCTAAAAAATACATCTGAGATCTCTTTTGCAAGTTATACACAAGTACATGTAGATCTAAAAATACACCTGAGATCTCTTTTGCAAGTTATACACAAGTACATGTAGATCTAAAAAATACACCTGAGATCTCTTTTGCAAGTTATACAGAAGTACATGCAGATCTAAAAAATACACCTGAGATCTCTTTTGCAAGTTATATGTAAGTACATGTAGATCTAAAAAATACATCTGAGATCTCTTTTGCAAGTTATACACAAGTACATGTAGATCTAAAAAATACACCTGAGATCTCTTTTGCAAGTTATACACAAGTACATGCAGATCTAAAAATACACCTGAGATCTCTTTTGCAAGTTATACAAAAGTACATGTAGATCTAAAAAATACACCTGAGATCTCTTTTGCAAGTTATACACAAGTACATGTAGATCTAAAAAATACACCTGAGATCTCTTTTGCAAGTTATACACAAGTACATGCAGATCTAAAAATACACCTGAGATCTCTTTTGCAAGTTATACAAAAGTACATGTAGATCTAAAAAATACACCTGAAATCTCTTTTGCAAGTTATACATAAGTACATGTAGATCTAAAAAATACATCTGAGATCTCTTTTGCAAGTTATACACAAGTACATGTAGATCTAAAAAATACACCTGAGATCTCTTTTGCAAGTTATACACAAGTACATGTAGATCTAAAAAATACACCTGAGATCTCTTTTGCAAGTTATACACAAGTACATGCAGATCTAAAAATACACCTGAGATCTCTTTTCCAAGTTATACAAAAGTACATGTAGATCTAAAAAATACACCTGAGATCTCTTTTGCAAGTTATACCTAAGTACATGCAGATCTAAAAATACACCTGAGATCTCCCGTTTGAAATACCAGGTTAACATTATGATAGATAATATTCAATTCATAGAAGTGCCAAAGTAACCATGTATTTTTTCAGATTTATGTCACCAGAATTATTCTCATGGTGCCACCCATTGAAAACGAATGAGGAATGTGATGGACTGTATAGCTTTGTCAGAAGAGCTCAATATCAGGTATGTTCATCTTAACACAGTACATTTAAATCTGTAGATCCACCCCTAATATATAAAACCTGTTAATCAGGTCTTTTCATTTTTAACATTTACATCATTTTTAACATGTACCTGTAAATCAGGTCTGTTTAGTTTTAGCATGTGCTTTAAAACCTATAAATCAGGTCTGTTCATTTTTAATATGTACATCATTTTTAACATCTACCTGTTATCAGGTCTGTTTATTTTTAACATGTACATGAAAACCTGTATATCTGAGCATCTCTCAGTAAAACACCTTTTCCCCAGTTCCAATTTTGTTATCATCCATTAATTCGAATATAAAGAGACCTTGATATTGTATCTGTTGTATTATTGTTCCGTTTGGCCAGGTGAGATTGTTTTTACAAAGATGATCTATGAACAGATAAGTCAGTGGGACTCGGTCAGGTAGAAAATGATTCCATAACATGAAGGTGTCCCAATGTACATGTTATATACTTCTTCTACACTAATGTACATCATTTATTCTATTACAGGCGAATACTTGCTCAAGGAAACCAGAGTTCCAGAAAGCATGCATGTACTGGATCCATCCAAACCTCCCATGGTGCAAGCTGTTCCCTCGTATAAATGCAGATAGTGCTTTAGGGTAAGACTGTTATTACAAAGATAATTACTAATAAATCAGTCTAGCTACAAGACCTTCACGCCCTTGGGAGCACCCCCCCCCCACTTCATACCTCTCCACAAGGTCTAGTAACCAGTGCACTAAGTACCTGTGTAAGAAGGTGTGTAGTCAAGTAGTGGGAGGGGGGGGGGGTCAAGTATAAAGAGAATACAGTTCATGTATGTGGATGGATTGATTTGATATGATATGATATGATATACCAAAACAGTGAATGACACGTTTAAGGGGTTATTCTACAATGCTAGAGTTGTTTTTATCCCATCGAACGAATATTTTATCCCATCGAACGAAGTTCGGAGGGATATAGGGAACGCCTCCGTCCGTCCGTCCGGCAATAACTCAAATACCGTTGGCCCGATTTTGTTCATATTTTGTACACATATACCCAATGGGGGTAGAAGTTCTACCCGAAAACTGATTTCAAACTGGCCACTCATTTAAAAATGGCGGCCATTTTAGTGCCGATTTTACAGTAATTTAGGTACTGCATATAAAACTGTAATAGCAATATGTTTTAAATGTAAAAAATTATGTGGGACATTGATTAAGCTAGAAATGTAAATACAGAAGAAATACATGGCAGCCATCTTGAAAAATGGCTGCCTTTTCACGTCTTTTTATGATTTTTGCTGTAACTTGAAAAGTAGTGGAGCGATTTTGTTCATATTTGGTATGTGAAACTCTAAGCATGGCACAATGTCTAATGACATTTTTGGTAGTAGGCGGCCATTTTGAAAAATGGCCGCCATTTTTACATGTTATTTAACATTTTTTACTGTAAGTCAAAAAGTAGTAGAGCGATTTTGTTCATATTTGGTATGTGAATACTTTAAGCATGGCCCAATGTTTAATGACATTTTGGGTAGTAGGCGGCCATTTTGAAAAATAGCCACCATTTTTACGTGTGTTATTTTACATTTTTTACTATAACTCAAAACGTAATAGAGCGATTTTGTTCATATTTGATATGTGAATACTTGAAAGGACTGCATACTGTCTTATGACATTTTGGGTAGTAGGCGGCCATTTTAAAAAATGGCCAGCATTTACATGTATGCGTGGGCGATTTTTTTAAAATTTTATATGTGGCTACTTAAAAGCATATTACTTCTTCTGATGACAACTTGGCCAGTGAGCAACCATTTTGAAAATGGTGGCCTTTCTTATGGGTGTTATTTTACGATATTTGCTATATATTTTATTTGTAAAATGCCAGCCATTTCTGTTCGATAGGATTCGCTACGCTTTGGCGTTGCCGTTGTTCTGGTTGTTTTAGTTTATAGATTATATCATCTATTGACAAATATCTTCTCTAGTACCCACAGAATAAAGTAGCTTCACATTGTGAAGTGCCATTTGGGTCATTGCTACATCCAGCATGTGACTCAAACAATATGAGCCTGGTCCAACCCAATACACATCTAAGTTCTAGCCCGTTTCTACTATAGTACAGCACATCTACTAAATTGGTTCTATTTCTTTTTATGATAAACACTTTTTGTTATGTATTACAGGAAGCAGACTGGTTTACTCCTGGAAGATCATGTGTTGAAGGCCTTATATGATGATTGGTAAGATCATGTACTCTTATATCATGTACTCTTATATCATGTACTCTTATATCATGTACTCTTATGTGCTATAATTATCATGAACAATAGAACCTGTCTGATCCAAACAGGACCAGCAAAAATTGGTCACATAGGCAGTTGTTCACAATTAATGTTTTTTAACATGGAAATCTATGGTCGATTAAAAAATTGGACTACAGAAAAGCATTCAAATTTGGAGAGGTTTTCGGATAAGAGAATTTGGATATCGTACAGGTTCTACCATATATATTACAATAAAACCTGTCTAATCTGAATGCCAATGGGAGAGGCCAAAAGGATTTACAGGTGTTCATGTACACATTTAGATATTTTTTATTTAACATGAACGTCTATGGCAGATTAAAAGACTATGTCTCCCACTGGTCCCCAAAAAAAAACCACTCACCATTTTACACAGATTGTATGTTCATACAATGCGTGTGTATGCGTGTTCACACTGTGTGATCCCTCGAGACACGGTTTAAGTCACCACTCCCAAAACTATAGAAATTTTCACATGTAGTTAAGTATCTGATATGAATTGTACCTGACTGTTACAAATCGTACACATTTAATACGCTGAATTCAACAAATATTTACCTTCTATTTTTTGCATTACAGGACAGAGAGTTTCACTTCAGCCTTTCATCTGCTAAGGTCATGCCATTCACCATATTTCTACATGCTCACACATCAGTTAAATGTCCTGTTCCGTGCCCCAGGGGTGGGTGGACTGAACAAGATGAATGCCATTGTTACACCAACCACACGTGGTTTTAGGGAGGCATTAACAGAAGAAGGTACAATATAATTTCCATCCAATACTAATTAAACAATACGTCTGGCTCTAGACTTTATGAAATCTTAAATGACATCTATTTTGTATCATTAACTGATATAAACTCTCAGACACCGTGTGAAAATGCTACAAAAGTCTGTCCATGTACATGCAAATGCACTGTTGACCATTAAATTTATTTTATTATTCCAGGTATCGAGTTCACCATGCCATTGCATGACACTACAAAGACAGACAACGAGGATGATTCAGAGAGTAACAGCCCAGTTCAGTAAGGTTTATTTTAAAATTTTATTCGTCCATCAGATATTTATAGAGCACATTTACCATAACTGTAAATAATCTTTAAATTATCTTTTTACATATTGAATCAAAATAAATCAAGTGAAAATAAAATATAAGTACATGTATACTATTTTTAATTCTTTTTTTAATGTATTAAAAGTTCAGTAAATGATAATGATATAAATATAGATAAATATAGATAAAAACATTGTGGATGATTATTTTTTGTTTTAATTAAGCATTAGTGTGATACATCTTCGAGTCGTAGTCTGTAATTTTTTAAAAACAATTCATTTCCAGAAACCTAGAGAGAGTTGATTATGAGAATGACCTTGACCCTGAGCTCATTGAAGATGATGACCTCCTAGCAACAGACAGTGGGGCATCGTCATGGTTAGAGAGCATGGGGCTAGATAAAAGCAGCTACCCATCTTTAGATCCTAACAAAGTGAAATTGTATCCTTTTTGTTGTTGTTTTTGTTTACCAAGTTTTCTCCATGAGCAACATGATCAACAAATGTTTCTTCAACCAATCAGTGATAAGATGTGGTTAACATTAGTGTTGTCGCAATGTGCCATAATCATACATTGATGCATCGACAATTTTCAGGAGTAAACATCGATACACATCGCGATGTACATCAAGAAAAAGTCCGTCACTAAAATACAAAACGCAACAAATAAACAATAAACAATATACATCCAGGTACTTCCGGTAACAGTGAAGTGAAAGTAAAGTAAAAAATTTAGATCAATGGTTCATTTCGACTAGCTAAAACAGTTTTAAGGCGAATGAATATCAGAGAACATTGAAAAATGAACTAAGACATGAGAAAGGTAAGACATTTGCATCAAAATGAGATAACAAAGGGTGATTTTTAGCAATTTTAATTTTTTTAAACATCGATGTTTTGTTTCAGACATCGATACATGTACATCGCCAGAATCAGTTTTGTATATCGCATATCGATTAATCGCAACACTAGTTAACATTAGTCACAGACCAAAAAATAATTCATCTATGATAGGAGCCAATTCCTCCCTTATATGGCTATAAACCTTAACAATATAAGACAGAGGGAAAGCTACAGGGCTATTGATAACAGGCCTGAGTCTATGGTGCTTGTACAGGGTCCCTCAACTCAGGCCCTCTACAACTATCTCCTCAACTACAAGAGTTGTATTGCACACAGCGGATCCCAGGCAGGTGTTCCACCCACCATTCTCTCACCCTCAGCATTCAAAGGGGCCACATTGAAATCACTGCAGGTAATATTGCCTAAAACTCTCATTTGATTGGTTAGATCATGTCACATGGCATAAGTGACAGTGGAGGTATTTCCCATCATTCATCACCCACAGTATTTTAAGCTTTTTGATTGGTTTGATGGTGTCACATGACACAATGGAGGTATCTCCCATCATTTCTCACAATGTTTAAAGTGGCAACATTAAAGTCACTGCATGTAATATTAATTGCCTAAAACTAGATAATATTTAGATCATGCTTCATGGCCCATGTGATAAAGGAGGTATCTCTTATCATTTCTCAGCCACAGTATTTAAAGGGGCAGCATTAAAATAATTGCATGTAATATTTCCAGTAATAGACTGTTTGCTAGGTTAGACTAATAGTCACATGACCAATGAGGGTGCTTCTATCATTCTTTACCATCATTTCAGATATTTTTTGAATACTCCTTTTTGATTGTAAAATAACTATAAGTAATGATTTACTATAATGCTACTATTACTACTAGCCTATAAATAAGTAGTTTTACCATATAAGGTCATTGATTTTATCATGTCAGGTGATTGATGTTACGTATGCCATAAATGGTACCTGCTATATAAAGTTATAGCTTAAAGTACTTTTTCTTAGAACATGAAATGCCTTATATTAAATAACTGTTACGTTTTGATATTCCAGGTAAAGCAGGGTACTATAAGGCAACAATGCCAAGATGGTACAATGGTATCTAATCAGACACTGGAAGTATCAGGCCCCATACTTCCCCATACAACACTAGCGCTATGTAGCTTATTCAAACAAACTCAATGCAGTGATTTCTCAGGAGTTTTTAACGTACATGACCATTCAACTGCATTTAACGGGACACCATTGCCACAGAATGCAAAAAATTCAAGAAATAATTGGGGATTGCCAATGGACATGGAAGAAGTTTTATTCAGGAGTAATAATTTGGGTAAACTTGCAGTGCGAGAGATAGTTTGTACGGCAGATGGGTATCATTGGAATACATAGCTACTTTAGGAAGTTAAAGAGGAGGAAATGCCCCAGAATTCATAGTTGAACATATCTCTATATAAATATGGACCTCTAGGGGTTATCTTCATATGTTTATCAGTTGCACTTTTGGAACAGTGAATATACTGCAGAAGTCCTGAAAGATGTTAAGTATTAATTAATAAAAACACAAAAAATATATAAATTATTAACAATACATATTTTTTTATTATATTCTTGATTGTATGTACATTGGCATATTGCATATACCATTTGATAATTACTAAAACTCACACATTTACCATCTTTGCAATCTGATACTCCATTGCAACATTGACCTAGAGTGTCATATACACATGATACAGTAAAATTAAAAATCACAATTTATTGTCTATCATTTTCATTAATAACTCAGTTCCTATATGTATACTGGCCTACCACAGTACAGTCCATTGGTAGTTAAAATATGCTAATATTCTTATCTACTGTACAAAATTGCACAACACATTTGCGAGTAGATACATAGGCTGGTGTATGTGACCTACATTGGAGACACTACAATATAAGGGCTTGTATCTGCTATAGGATCTGAAGACCAATTCTCCATTGTTAATAATGAAGAGCTAAAATAGTAATCTGTAATTTGGAATTATTTTACCCATAACCCAAATCAAAATAATTCTACAACCAATTTTCCCTTTAAGTACCAATGCTGTATTGGTTTTGGACAAAATGCCAAACTGCAACTTTTTGTAGCCCAATATTTTTCAATAGCTCTAGACCAATCAGATTGCTTGCTTGCAGTGCAACAATATTTAAAAAAAAATATGCATAGCAAATACTCAATGTTTTATGGTCAGTAACTCAGGTGTACCAAGAGATTTAAATTTTAATGTCCACTTTTGTTTGAACTAGCATCCAACTCACTTTCAAAATACAAAATTAGTAAATATTTCCAATTGAACTCAACTACACCAGTCTATGTACATCAAATAAATGACTACATTTCATTCATCCAGTACCATGTACACATACCATATATTTACAAATACACCATACAGTAATACTATATATTCATGATCAGGGTATGCAATACACACATATTTGAGGTCCATGCATGAGGCAAAGCCAGGATCCAACATTTAGCCTAGGTGAGGCAAATTTAAATGGAGAGGCAAAAATTAGGCAAAAATGGATACTTTGCTACTAGCCTATATGACATTATCTTCAGTATCAATTGACAAAATGATGAAAAAACTTATATTTATTTTTGTAAAATTTTGACAAGTCAAATTGCATACCAAGCTATACCCATGTCATTGTACACCACAGTTTATAGTACAACATTCTGTGCCTATCAACACCACAGTTTAACATTTGGAGGCTATTAATTATAATGACCTGAGCAGTGGTAATACAGAATTCACACACATAACACATAGTTACTGTATTACTTATTTTATTATACAGGTAGGTCAGATAAAATTTGATATCCCAAAAATGAAAATGTATTTTAAAATTAGGTAAGTTAGCACAGCCTTCATCATCTTCAACACAGCCGTGTTACATTTGAAAAATACTGTAATCTCATGTGTCAAATGAAATGTACATATATTGTATACTATCCACCGAAGATAATACTATTGCTACTAGAAATTTACAGAGTTCATTTGAAATTGATTAAATGGAAGATAGCATTAAATTCCTTGAAACCTTAATAATCACATCTATTCACACAATGTTAAGGTGGGATGTGTCGAGATTATTTAGCTATATAACCAATTCTCCTTGGCCTACCTCACAAACAAATCCATGACAAGAATCACAACTACTAAAGCTATAAATTACTCTACTATGTAACATATGATGTTTACAGAATTGGCACCATTTATATCTTGCATATGCTTTATCCCCGTGCATATACATTTTTAAGTTAAGATACCATAAAACTTATCATATGGGGTCATACATCAGAACAAGGTACTTCATAAGCGCTGGCCAAGAAGCCATGTGATTTTACATCATACATACAGTGAAGGAAAATAGCATGGCACCTGGTCTGTTCTGATGATGCACCCTTTTAAAGTTCCCATATAAAGTTTAAATAAATGATAATAACATCTTTTCAAACTTTACATGGGGTCAACAGTTGATCATTCAAATTGACAAGATTTTCACATACACAGGATTTACTTTTAGATAATTTACTTAGTACAAGATAATTTACTTGCATCAGGTCTTTGACATCCCATTTTACATATTTCTCCAAGAAGATACATTTATTATAATGTTATGTACAGTACATGTTCTACAATATGAAGGAACTTGGAGATGGTGGTTGTACAAAGATCTGATGCAAGGTACAGCATACATACAAACATATTATAAACACTACCTTTATGACCATTAATTGATGAAATATACATTTGCAATAATTTAAAATAGCATAATGGACATGGACATTAAGGGTCTAACGGTGCACCGAAACCGCGGTGCACCGAAACCGAACCGAACCGAGGAATTAGGAAACCGTGAGAGCCCTAATGGACATGGTAACATAGTGTATACATAGACTAATCACCTAAATTTCTGAAAGATTGGCAATTTACTGTTTGGGTCATATCTTAGTCAAATAATAGTATAATAGTATAATAAAAGTATACTGAATACTGATCATCAAATATAAAATAATAACCAAACAAATGTCATTTTAATTGAAGAAGGGTTACCAAAATAACAATTTGTTTTTTATATAACATTGGCAGTTTTGACTTATATGTCTCACTAATTGCTGTTTTGGCATAATCTCATTTTGATTAGTCTGTTATACATCATTCTATGACAATTTAGATTCAAATCAAATAAGTATAGTTTTCATCTCTTGTGAAATTAGATCAAAACCTAATAAAAATGTCTTTTTATGATAATACTTTTTCAATATGACACTGTACAGATGAAGGTCATACATTGACCTTGCTACCTACGGTGGTGAAGGTCATCCATTGACCTTGCTACCTACAGTGGTGAAGGTCATTCATTGACCTTGCTACCTACAGTGGTGATCTCTGGTTATATCACAACACAAAATATTCACATGTTTGCCCTTTAGGCCCATACGAGTCAATTGTCTGTTTAGCAAGGGAAGATGATTCAGGAATTAGGTTTTTTATTTATTTTCAAATTATGCCCTAAAATGGTAACAAAAAAGTCTAAAAGGAAAGGAAAAGGGGTGTGCCCATGACAGCTTTTTGAATAAAGGGGTAAGCACTGCTAAACATACTTTTAACCTGTAGGGGCCCTATGTATAAAATGCACATAATATTGGACCCTACAACCCAGAATAATAATAGTTACAATAACAAACCAACTGTACACAAAATTAAAATTACTTTAGTAATCATTGAGAATCTCATTGAATCTTGCTTCTGTTCTTATTTCCTATTTGCATTGGATTGAAGAAATTATCAGTTAAAGTAGCGCCATTTAAACGTTTAAATGTTATCTTATGAACAGTAAACTGAGAGATTTTGATTTTTTAATCTTTGGGTGGTTGTTAAAATATTGTGTTTTACCCAAGGAGGATTGGCTCCCAGGATCGAAACTCGATATTTTCAACAATGAAGAAGTCGAAATGTCGTTATTTTCTGAAATTATAACCGACTATGAATTCAAAAGAAACAGTTTAAAAGATGCGAACCAATATCGCGATTATTTCTTGTGAGTTTTGGAATTCTTTGTTAGAAAATGAGACCAAAATTCAAATGTTGAAGTGAACAAAATGGTGGCTGTTTGAATTCAAATTTCGTATCACGACAATATGGGACAGAATTTCAACGTTGCACTCTTGGAACCAATTCTCCTTGGTTTTACCTGTTCAAAATATAAGTTGGACCTGAATCAAATTCAAGAAAGGAATGCACTTTGCAGAGAAAGGGGTAAGTGTGCTATAGGAATATGATATTGCACAATTATTTATGCGTATTTATTCAATGTTTGTATTTTTATACTTGAGAATTTACAATGTTTCTTATTTGTTATACTCAACAATGTTCCATTATAATTTCTGCGAAGTACTAGCTTAATAAAAAATGTTCTCCAAATATCTTAAAATATGACAGTATCTTACAGTTATGACCTTATTAATATGCAATTCTGTTGTAAGAAATCGTTTTTGTGCCACTTTTGTTTCTCACTTTGCTTATAGCTAAATGCTTGGCGTATTTTGCCAGATCAAAAATGAGAATACCCTCATCATCTAAATCTCTGTAATTGTAAACCTATATCACCCCAAAATATTTTAATATCAAAGTATGTTAATGGTTCAAGTTGCAAATTAAAAAATCAATTTGGGCCATAAATTATTTAAATTACTTTAATTATAAATTATGTATACAGCTACTACCATTTTTCTAGAAAAATTCAGATTCTCCGCAAGTACAATAATTGTTGAAAGTTTTTTAAAAGGCACATAACTGAAACATATTTGCTCTAAGGTTCTTATTTTAATCTGCATGAGAGCCCTTTAAGCGGGTTTTCATTTTCTACGTTTCCATGTCATGTTATTCAGCAGTTGAAATCACAAAAATAAACACTCAAAATGAATGTGTCTTAATTCCCTATATACAAGACAACATGGCTTAAAATTTAATAAGGTTAATGGAAATTATGGCTATTTTCCTATGCTATGAAGAAAATTAAATTACAGTAAGTTAGGAGAGTAGGACAAACCACTATAAAGCATATCAATCACCTGTACTGTACTGTACTGTACTGTATACAGCAGAAGAAATTTTTCTAATCAGAACATCTATGTGTGCTCAACACACATCTATGTGGAGCCGGTGTGAAAGAAATGATGGTCCCCCAGGGATTATGGTCCCCTTTCTTAACGGCCCTTACTGGCCCTGATTGCGTATACGATAATGAGAGAAAGAGTTGTATTTAGGTCACCATATAAATCAATGGAGAGTAGGACCATAATTTGATAGGACCTCCTACCCTTTTACACCGGGTCAAATTCTTTTTCACAAAACTAAATCTCTCCATTCCATTAAATTCATGAACACTGAAGTTAATATATCATCCAGTCAATGTTCAATGATACTGAAACCTGGCTTTTTCCGCCGGCTCTAACACAATTAGTTTCGCGGAAATAATACACAGAGATATTTGACACGGCTCCTTACAACTTAATATTATTAATTCATAAATAAATATCCTAAGCTGCTACTAGATATTTTTCCCTATGATGGCGTCTCTTCTCTCTTTTTTAAAGTATTTTTAACTGGGAGAGGATGTGCTTCTGTATTAAATACCCATTTGTCTAATGGTATTAAACTATCGTCAGAAAATAAAAGATATAAATATTTTAATGTTTCTGCTAAGAAAAAGCTCTGTTGGACGTCATCCTTTTGAGGGTTGACTTGGTAGACATCTCTAATGCCAGTATAGCCTGCATCAGTGCGGCAATTCTTTTCTAAGGCCTGCAACAAAAAATATGTCATGAACTCGTAAGCATTAGGAATAAATATACAAAGGAAGTGCTAGTTAGTTAATAATCCGAATTAATTAATTAATACAAATTAAAGGTACAGTATTCAAAGGAAATGGAATAAGCATGATAAGAAAATATTTTACATGAATAATGTAAAATTAATACGAGGTATTGACATGCAAAGTAACACCATCTGTAATTTGTTATAGAAGCTGAACTCCAACTGCCGAACACCAACCCCTGAACACCATCCACTTCTGGTGCTGAATGATATAAAAATCAAATCTCCAGAATGTCACTAGTGTTGTCTCAGATGTCTCACAATGTAGTCAAATAAAATAATGCAAAGCAACTTCAACAAAAAGGAAGAAAATTATATCTCTATGTTGGTTTCGAGGTGGGACAGGATGGGAAAACCCTATATGTAATGTCCCATAACCAAAATGGACAACTCCCATCCTATCTCAAAATTATTTGTCTCACCACTACTTCTACTCACCTGAATCATCTCCCAGCCCCAATCACGGTATTTCTGGTCATGTGTGAACCGCCACATGTAGAAGTAGGCCTCAACAGTCTCTGGACGGAGGATATAATATTTTTCATTCATACGCACAGATTTTGCTTCTGTGTTTGCGTCAAATCTAAATGCTTCTGGCCCAAGTTTAGTGGCTATAACAAAAAGAGAATGAGCATACATACAAAAATCTACAAAGTGTAATTTGGATTATACACTTCAGATTCAGATTTCGAAACTCTTTTCTATGCGGACATATCAATATTAGACTCCAAGTATATACTTTTCATGTAGGCCTATATTAGGGTTAGAATATGCTAGAATTCAATGCATATTACAAAATATTTCCAATAGTTCCAACCAGATCTCCATTGTGGATATTATTACACCTTGTATGATGAAACTTTATAAACCAAGTTGTTATGAAGTGTTGCATTACACAGACTTTTACCTGTTCGATCATAAGACTCGTGACAAGTCTTTGCTATTTCTCCTCCTAGTTCTATATAATGATCCTCCTTGTCAGAGCCTGCTGCACCCAAAGCAAACATACCACCTGAAGAGTAAATCATGGGATTAGTGATTACCTATGATGCACTTTCTAACAGACTATTTAAAAGGGAAAGATTAAATTGTACAGTGGTCAAGATGTTATACTAATCATTGTTTTTGTTTTTTTAATTGAATTAGGAGTGGAATAAAAATATTCATATATTTCCAAAGATCATCAAAGCATACACTTTTTAGTATTAGCCAAATGTAAGTTGAAGAAACTTTTCTAAAATTGTAAGATTTCAGACATTTTTTCCATGCAATATTTCTAAGAGGCATAATAAAAATTCGTGGTGCAGGGTTGACTGAATGAGTCCCTCATGCCTCCACATTGTACATGTGTATATTACTTACCAGCAAAGCAAGCCAAATGGTCCATCTTTGACTCTATTCTACCACTCTTATACTCAGCTATATACTTTAATTTATTCTGCTGGGATGTGTGTACAAGCTTGTCTTCAATGTTCTGGAATAATCAAAAGTTTTTTTTAAGACAACAACATCAAAAATATTGGCTTTTGCAAATTGGAGATGTTAAATAAGGTTTCTCTTTACTTTTGACTTTATTTTGGGGTTTGCTTTTCTTTTGACTGGCTGTACTCTAATTTTTCGTTTTTTGCATCTGTTATTTGTGGTATAGTCTAGTAGTGAAAATGGCTAAAATTGATTTAAGAGAAGTCCTATTTTCCAATAACTCAAAGTTTGGGAATAGAGTACTGAAGCAGTGTGCGTGATTAATTTTAAAAATAATCTTACCACTACAGCTTGATCATACATCTGTCTTGCCTCTGTGTCTTCTTTGCCAGACATCAGCCAGGCCTTAAGTAGGTATTCATAAAAACTATCACCCAGTGCTCCAATAGATACATGTTCTGAAAGTAGCAAAATTGCCATTTATTTGCATTATAAGGAATAAGCAACAATGATATATTTTCTCTGTATATAGGAACAATTGGAGCAAATATGCATTAACATGAATTTGAAAAATAATGTTTAGATTAAAATTCTTTGAAAAAACTCAAATGACTAGATTTTGAGGGTTAGGCATGATATTGAATAATCCATAAAAATAACCTTTTGAGAAGGATCCAAGAAAAGTAGCACCAACCTGAATGCTAAATCATTTGGGGAATATTCTTCAAGATCCTCTAATTAAGAAAAACATTTACAAAGAATACTCATAGGAAAATATTGGCATTCAATATTGGCAAAACTTACGCTGGCCCCATCTGCCTGTTTTAGGGTTGAGGTAGTTGGGATATAGGTTATTAGGTTTGTCCAATTGTTGGAGGACTTCTCTGATCTTCATCACCTGGAAATACATCAATTATTGCATGAGGGTCCTCCTTTTAAACATCTGAACATTTTAGGTCATCCTTGATCAAAACTCACATAAAGATTTTAGAATGGTGAGTTTTAGCTTGCAATGTTTTTCACAACCAAAATGTGAACAGAAAACATTTAAGCGATGCATTTGTATGGGCGATTGATTGGTCATACATATAGGTTGGCATTTCAATTTTATATGCAAGCTTAAGCTCCTTAATATCATCTGAATATAACCTGCTATATATTTATGAAGAAATGCATTGTATGTTTCCCTTTATGGATAAATCAACTTTTATTTCAAATTTTTTCATGTCATTGTCTTTACTCATGAATTTCAATTTAAAACTTACCTTCTCAAGGTATATAGGGTTGCCGGTGATCTCTGTAAGCTGGGCAAACTCCAAATGAAGGGTCCCAAACTCTGCCAATATGGAACAGCCACCTGATGCCCAGCCCCAGTTCCTGCTGCTACCTCTACAAATACATAAAATCATAATCTTTACAAAGTATGATCCAACATGGGCCAATTTCAAAGGAAATTCCTGAATAATGAATCTTTGATTCAGTTGACTTTTACAAAATCACCATGGTTTCATTGTGAAAGATGACTAAAATGTAGATATTCAGGCAATCTATAAGTACATGTACATGGTTTTTGAGAACCAGATCCAAGACCATATCATTTATTGTCTTGGTAAATCCCATGTTGATTTAAGGCCATTGACTTCTGAAATGTTACTATGTGCATGGATGGTAGGGAGGGCTGTGGGGGAGATGTCACGACTTATCACAATCACTCTCGCCAATTTTCACAATGTTGACTTGGAATATTATGATCAAAAGCTTCAAGCTAAATGTATTAATGGGAGGTGTTTAAATGTTGTGCAGTAGTGGAGAATTAGTTTTTGCTTTTAATTTGTGTTTGTTTGCCTCTCTCCCCATATCGCAAAATTGAAAAATGTTGATTTGCTTGAATTAAACTGAAGGAAATCAACATTCTCCATTCATTAAAATCTTTATTTACCCCCTCCCTTAAAAAATTAACTGATTACAATAGGACACAATCCCTTGCAGTAAAACACCCAATCAATGAACAATCACTCAAGTCACCCCTAAGTAATAATATTAATATAGACATTAAGACTTTGATTAAGAAAATCTTGCACTTCACTTTTTCACACTTACGTACTTGGAAACTGATCAATTATTGATCATTTTCCAAGTAAACCATACAGAAAGAACAACTATTTTTCTTTATTACCATTTAAATTGTTTAGACTTTTTTATAGACAAAGCTGTATACTAAAACTATAATTACATCAACTGCTGTCGGCTGTTGCCTGTGATGCATGAAAAATTATCACAGTAAATTCTGACTGAAATACTTGCCTACTGATTTATATACCAATGTAGCAATGGGCACATTATACATGCAGTATATTGCAAACTCAGCCTGTATTCGCAAATGCAACTAACGCCTGTCGGCTACTGGATTGACCTGCTATTTTATGGGCAACTCGTTACCTGCCACTATTCCATCATATTTAAATGAGTTGGACATAAAGTAGGTTAATCCAGTAGCCCACAGGCGTTAATTGCATTCGTGAGTACAAGCTTAGTTGATAGGATGGAGGAGTAGCTTACACTCTAGTCTTGCAGTAGGCCCCTATGTAAAATATTTTTTAAAAATGCAGAAAGCAGGCCATTAGAGTACAGAAATGAATCTACCAGGCCTTTGGGACAATAGCCCTAGACTAATTAGGCCCTTTAGAGCACAGAAATGAGTTAAGCAGGAGAATAGCCAAGGATTAAAAAGGCTCTAGGGGTAAGGAAAAAATTAGGCAGACCCTTTAGAGAATAAACACAGATTAATAAATAGGACCAGAATGACATTTTGAGCTCAGCATAAAGAATTCCATATACACGGGAGATTGAACATTTTATTGCAGTGTTTATCTTTCCCCTTTCTTTTCCCAGAATGGCATGTCAAGTTGACCTACTAAATCTAAAAGCATTAAATCAACCATATGTTCGCATTATTTCACTAAAAACCATTATATTAGGGGTTACTTGGAGTTTGCATGATTATAATACATGAATATTTATAAATACAGTGACCTAAGATTAGTTAATTTTTTTAAAATAGAACAGTTTATAATCAATAGGTTATTTTTATACTTCCTTTGTTTGTAATTGTTACAGGTCATATTCAAGTGTACAGTAAAACCTGTATATTCAAACAGCTCTCTAATTTGAACACCTCTAAATGTGATCAGTCTGTCATAGAATGTTAAAAGGCTCAAAATGTGAACACCTGCCAATCTGAACACTTTTGGAAGGTCCCAGGAGTGTTCAGATTGGCAGGTTTTACTGTATGGATAATTTTTGTATATACCATAGTTTTAACTTTTATACTCCTTAAGTCTGTACTTAAATACGTTGTACAAAATTAAGAAAATATGTCTCTTCATAAACCACTATTCTTCAATAGAAATTTTACTTTTACAATTTGTAGAAGACCGTTACTATAACTTCATTTTAGAGATCTACTATAATTATAAATATAGAAATCTTGCATTTAACTTCACATAAAAATACATCTGTTACACATAATGTGATTTTATAATCATAAATATCTTCAGTTTTATTAAAGACGCTTTGAAGGTTTATATTTTCTCACAAGTTTTTACTGATACGATGTAGAAGTATGATGAACTTGCAATTAGAATTAAATTAAATTGAAATTAATTGGTTGTTATTAAGGACCTGAGGTATCCTGGCTTTTTATATGAGTTCATTTCTAAAATTGTCAATATTATTCCTTATATCCAAAAAGTTTCGCCAAAGAGGTTTTTTGATAAAAAAAGGTGGGCACTGCTAAACAAGTATCTAATTTGTATCCTCGCAAGTGCCACTTTTTGTGTACTTCTGTTAAAAAAATCAAAATACTCTTTCCTTTCCCGCTATAGTTATTATACACTGTATCCATAAAGTCTCTACATTTTACATGGACGTTATATTGTAAATTATAGAGATTTTATGGACACCCTGTACACACATATATACAGTACTTACGTTTTGATGTTAATCATCGCATTTGGAATGCCAGTTGGAGTGTTGAATGCTGGGAGAAGCTTGTCTGCTATGGCAACAGCTTTTGTTTTGTACATCTGTAATTCAAAAAACATATTGAGATGAGATGAGATATTGAGATGCAGGTTTTTAAGACATGAAAACAAGTTATGTTATTATGTTAAGGTCAGAACATCTTAACTTCTGAATGGATTATCTTTACTTTTATCTAAGAAAATCAGTCTTAATTCTTCCTTTACAGAATGATATACTAATGAAGAAGTCTTTAAAGGAGCTAAGATCTGGAATGACAAATTAAGGCCTTTGCGTGTTAACTGTATGTTTAACAGGACATTTTCATAGAGATGTGGCGACTTTTTTAAAAAATCTCAAAACATATGAAATCAATAATCCATTTACATGTACTTTTAAAAATTAAGGCCAAGCAAAAATGTTCCATTCAGATCTTTGGATTGATAACAATGTCATGGTTAAACAGACTCTTAATTTGCGAGGCCCCGACTAATAAAGATGTATATTGTATTTGAAGTTTAAGGAATACCATTCATCAAGATTACGACAAGGTAATTGACAACCAACATTAACCACAACTGTTAATGTATTCTTGCGATCAAGAAACTGTAAATCTCCTTTTCAAAATAATCCAGTCTAATTTTTCTGAGCAGATATGGATTTTATTTTATTTTAAAGGATTTTGATTCCCTTTTGCATTTTCTTGTTGGATTAGATATCTGATATGAGTACCAATAATAAATTTTTTGGTCAAAATTTAAGAATATAAAGAAATGTACCAAAATCTGATATCGAGTCACATATTACCACTTGTTTCTTATATGTTTTTTTTGCTTTTTTGGGAGGGGGAGAAGAGGCACGCATATTCCTATGGTGCCCCCTATTCCACAGCCCCCTTTTCAAGGACTACTGCCAAAATATGAATATGGGGACTCCAATTTGGATTGACAAAAAATAGAAAAAAATTTCTCAAATTTTGATATTCTAGAAGGTATTTGATCATGGGCTCTCTGGAAAGTCCATGATTTTTTAAAAGTAGAAACAAATGATTTGGTAGAAAAAAAATAGGCTAACACCGCGTTATATTTACTAAATATATTGGCTATATATAATTTCTATTGATTTTAGGAACACGTAAAATTGTCAACTTGTAGACGAGGCCATAATAAAATAGACAAAATTTCTTAAACTATCATCTGCAGTTGTTGAGTTCACTAAACAATCGCACACTCTCTCATAAAATGAATTGCTCCATACATCAATTTAATTGTTGGTAAACAACAAATGGCGAAGAAAATCAGCCCTTCCATTCCATGACAACAATGGCAAATTTGACCACTTGTGAGGCCAAATTAACCTGCCCTTTTTCACAAATAACTCCATTTTATATGTTTTCATGTTACAATTCCATGTTTTTCGCTCACTGTTTTAAGACTTTTGCCCCCTTTGCCGAATAGGCCCCTAAATTGACGGGGCTGGTAATATATAGTTTTACTGTATGGAGCCAAGTTAGAGGTGGCGATGGAGCGCAGTTACAAAGCAGTAAAACAAAGGATCTGCTTACATAACACTCGGTTGTAACTGTCAGTTGCTAATCATAACAAATGGGAACCCTAATGGAGGTTTGTTTATGTAACGAATTCTTGTTTGTTTATTGCAATTAAACATATCACTTTTCAAAATGATTGAAATGACTTCACTCGGGGATCACCATGACATCTAAAAGTTCTAAAGGATGAGGTAAGTTCCAGAGGTGACGTACTATTGGACTTATATCAAGGGTATACCTTTCCCAACCTCGTTCATTCACCTTTTTTTAAATATTTATATTTATTTATTGTTCCATTCAAATTATTTACAAAAAGTATTATTACAATTTGACGCAGAGCGTGTATTGTGTGTTAAAAGGTTTATGGAGAGATATGATTGGATGGCTTTTAGGTCTTTGACTGGTGTAGTTCAGTTCAACCCAAGTTAGAAACAAATTATTTATCAAATTATATACTAGAGGTTCTGAATTCCAAATTTTATTGCCGATTTACAGTGGCGCGGAATTTTGCTGCACATTTTCTCCAAAATTTTCATTTTCAAATGTCTGACAAGAAGCTCCAGATTCTACCAATAACAGAAAATTTTTATCATAATTTTCAAAAATAACCAATCAAAAATATAACCATGAGAAAGAAGAAGAAAAGAGCTTTAAAATGCTTCTAGCTCAATTTTGAAGGAAGTTGCATCAACTTTTGTAAAATTCAAAATAAATCTTATTTTTGGCTTGTTTATGTCACAATCGCCCCCTGACTGAAAACCGAATTTTTGGGGCGATCGCACCCCCCTGACTGAAAGCTGGCTACGCCCCTGCTGTATATCAATATCAATGTCTTCCCTTACCGAGTGCCATTTACCACCTATAAGACATGATTAGTTGTAGGTCTATGTTTCACTGAGCTAAAATAACAGCTACCAAATAACAGGCCTGAACTCCATTGTGTGCATTTGATCTCAGAATTCCAATTAATTAAGGAAGATCTAATCTTCATGTACTGTTATCTTCCTGAGAACATGTTACATATAATAGCATTAACCCTTCCACTGATCATTAATCAGTTCCAGAGATATGTCAACCTCTTGAATCCCAGGGTCTAAATTTTTGCCACCTTTGACATTTTATGACATACTTGAATAACTTTAGATGCTCAATTTAGTGAAATTGGTCGGCATAGATCATTTCTACATATTTCGAACAATTTTATAGTAAATTGGATGAAAATTTTTCAAATTACAGTAGAACAATTTTAGTGAAAAATTTTGTGACAGATTATCTCGTCACTCTAAGTTTCACTGTCAACTCTTAGGTGACGAGAAATCTCGTCTCTCTGGGTAAGTCATGAGGTTAACCACAAAACTGAAAACAGTAAAAAGCCTCAAAATGTACTGTAATTATGTTCAGTTCCTATATTATAAGAATTATTCTACATTTTGTTATTAATTTACATGCAGAAATCTTATATCTAAATGTGTTAAATTGTTAGTTCATATACAAAGTGGACGATCAACAGGAAAGTACATTAAGCCAAGCTGGTGCAGTACTAGACAGATTAATAATTAAGTTCTAATCAAGCAACATAAATCAATACATTAATTAGGAAACAATAATATTACGGAGGGAAACAATAATATTATGGAGATTTTTGACCTTCCAGGCTTTCTGTTATCTTTTCCCTTCTATAGACTTTTCAGAACATATTTTGGAACTTGCCTTCATTATTCAAACTTCAGGAATTTTTGGCCTAACTGGTAGCTTGTTTAAAAAAGAAATATGATGATGAAAAAATAAAATTAGTTATGAACTTCAGAGTATAGTTTATTTCATTCTGTGGCTACTTGGACAATTGGGTTACAATGACATTGGCTAATAATTAAATTTCCAAAGTGGGCCGGCCTCTCATCCGTTGGAGATTTCAATTTTGAAAAAACAAACATGGCTGACTATAAGAGTTTAAATCATAAACCAAGGTTGAAATGTCTATGGACAAAATATAAAGGAAATCTCTTAGAGTGTGAAATGACAATCACCTTTGAAAAAAGCAGCTCTTAAAATCGGCAGCTTTAAAAATGCTTTCGTCTTATCTTTATTTTCATGATAAGCTATGATGTCATTTACCTGTTCAGTATTTTTGATTATGATATCAGCATTTGTTAGTGGGTTACTAAAATGACTCATATGAAATATTGGTATCGTATATATATAACCTTTTGGCGAGACCATATCACTTCATTTTTTGATAGGACTGAGCAAATTGCTGATGTCATGCATGCTTCATGCATAACAATCACACCGGAATAGCCTGACAACGGTAAAGTCAGATACCGTAGTCACAAATGGCGAACATAACCGTCGCTTAAACATAGAGTTCATAAGAATCTAACTGAAGCGACGGTTATGTCTGCCATTTGTGACAACGGTATCTGACTTTACCGTTGTCAGGCTATTCCGGTGTGACAATAAAACATTTTGAAATCTAGATGATTAGAAGTAGCACTCTCATTCAGTATTCATATTCTAAATGAGAAACACTAAATGAAAAAAATAAATAAAAAAGACAATTCAATTCACATATATCCTTGAACTAAATGTTGCTTTGGATATTACAAGGTGCTAAACCAGACTGCATGAGATAACACTAAATATTGCACTAGAGCACACTAAATACTATACCAGAATGCACTAGACAACAGTAGGTGCACACATGTAGATATTATATCATAATATATTAGACAACACTACATGCCAAACTAGAGCACACTTGGTATCATACCAGAATGCACTAGACAAAACTACATGTCGCTCTAGCGCACACTAAATGTTGCACTAGGATGCACTAAACAAAGTGCATGCGTACTAACCTGGTCGCCTGTGAGACCATAGAGCGCCAGTAGGCCACCAACAAATCTTATGTTCACCTCAAACAATGACACTTCTAATGCCTACAAGAAAGTGTGTTAAAGATAATGAAGTTGAAGGCAAGATATTAGAGGCAGGTGTGGTGTGTCCAAACAAACCAGCGAGGGAGGGGTGATACTCCACCCTTTTAGGGGTCACAGTTGCAATTTTGAATTCTTCTCTGTACAGAAAATATCATGGACTGGATTTCACCCATTGTCTTTTCCTCACAATCATTTTGTTAAGTCGGCACTCTTTATGTAAGGATTTGTCCAGATGGACATTCTATTACCTCTTATCTCAAATAATGTTGGGGACCATAGTGAGGCTATTGGGTAAAAGCCAAAGAATTTTTTTTGATGCTGATTATAATAAGGGGAGAGTGAGGGGGGTTGTGTGGACACACTGGTATTAGAAAGTAGCTTATGTACATTTAAAGCAAACACTTCAACTCCCATAGGTTAGTAGCCACATGCCCGCTGGTGGCCTTATGGAAGTCAAAATGTTCTGGATAGGTGGCAGCAGTATACCTGATCTCCTGTCATGCCATATAAGGCAAGCATTCCACCGATAAATCTGATATTCACTTCAAACACTGAAATGCTTGTAGCCTGAAAAATTTACTTTATTTACATCAAGACATTACACATACTTGAAACATGATACATATAACAACGGTAAACAAATAAATTATGCTGTACAATACAAAAATTTCAAGCTTGAATTTATAGTATATATATACTTATAGTATATTTATAATATATATAGTATATGTAGAAGTTTAAATTGAATTTATGTTTCTATTACACGTGAAAGCACTATATCATGTTTTTGAAATATTATCTTAACTGAACTGAAAAATTATCAGTTACATATTATTTTCATTGCAGTTTCATGACTCACCCCATCAAAGTTTAAAGATGTGGCGACCCAATCACGGCCTTTCTTATATTCATCCATGAGACCCATAATGAACAATGTATCAAGTCCATCTACAATTGTCGCACCAAATCTTGAACTTCCAAATATGGACGCTGAATGACCTTTGCGTGATATGGGTCTAAGCTCATTATGCTCCCATGCGTATTTCTCATAATTGGACCAAGCATGTTTCATCATCTGGAAATACAGGAAAGCTTTTCATAAATATAAATTAAAATAAAACATTACTTTTTGTGATTGTTTTACATGCTTTTTATAGCCAATATACAGGGTGTCTATAAAGTGACTCTGTAATTACAATACAAAGTCTGTGTAAAGTATAAAGACTCACTTTATGGACACCCCGTACATATACTCAATTTTATGGCATAAATCAATCATATTCCAAATGCCAAGTGGTTTATTCATTTGAACAGCTTTAGAAAATATATTCAGAACACAAATAATTAAATTCATTCAGTTATACCACAGAAATTGAAAACATTAGAATATACAATATTCTTAGGACCGGGTAATTCATTCCCATAACACAGAAAATGGAAGATTTTGATTACAATATTTTCTGTCAGATTTAAGTGAAGCATGACAGTTTTGCATGTTTTTATGCTTATAGATAATAGAAATGTCTACCAGAATTGTTATTTATTCCCTACAAGCATGGAATACTACAGTATAATGGGTCTTAAAATAATTATCACAGTTTAGAATGAAATTACATACACAGGAACTTTAAGAAATCATTTCCCCACATAGAAAACACGGGCGTAGCCAGGGGGAGGGTGCGATAGGTGCAACTATTACAACCCTCCCCCACCCCCACAAAAAAAGAAAAAATGCAATTTTGTAAAATTTGTTGAAATATTTTAGCTTGTGATAAGACATACACCCAGTAGGGTGTATCACTGATATGTTTATATGATTTTAATAAATAAATAAAAAAATAAATAAATAAAAAACAAATAATGGTTTGAAATGCTTAGAATGCACCAAAAAAGAAAAAAGCAGTTTTGTAAAATTTGTTTAAATATTTTAGCTTGTGATAAGACCCACTAGTCATTATCATTGATATGTATATATGTTTATATGCTTTTAATAAATAAATAAAAAATAAAAAACAAATAATGGTTTGAAATGCTTAGAATGCACCAAGTATAATGAAAATTATAAACAATTTCTGCGGGTGAAACCCCTTACCCCCTTTTTGGGGCTTGCTTCCCACGCAGCAATGCAAACCAAAAATTCACACTCCCCCTGACGTTTACTGGCTTATGCCCCTGACAAACCTTAATTTCCCTTAAAACCTTATATAGATTTCTTCAGAGAAAACAATTTATTTTATTGAGATTTTCTACCTGTATCCCAACATCTTTTTCAAGATTCATTTTCAAAACTTGTCGAAACAGGTCAAAAGTCTCGATAAAATAAACCATTTTTGCTGAAGATAAAGTATTAAAAAGATGTTCTATAAACCAGAAAGATAACCCACATTGACATAGGTTTTCAAATCATATGAAATCTTGTTCCCTGTTCAGACAGAAAATAAAATTATTTAACGTTTAATCTCAATTATGAGACACGCAGTCCATTAAATGCTACAAAACAATCATCGTATTCTCTGAAAATGTTATTCTTCAAATAAAGCCTAGGCATTTATCTTTTTAATGGGGGATACAATTAGAATTTAGACAGCATGTTAATTGTAGTACTCTCAATGAGTTATTGTATCTGCTCTATCATAATTTGGAAATACAGTGAAACTTGTTAAGAAGGTACATCTCTAGTGGATGAACTCTGTTAGTAGAATACTTTGCAGAGGTCAAAGTGCAACTGATTTAATGTTAAATGAAGCTCTATAAGTGGAACACCTCCCAAGTGGAACACTTTTAGGAGATACCAAAGGTGTTACACTTTAACGGTTTTACTACATTAATTTAACTGTATGTAATGCATAGTGACTAAAAGCTGAATTAGGACTAATATCAAAGTTTCCATGAACAATTTTTTCTGGTTCTTTTTCCAAAACCAGTTTCAAGTCGAGTTTTTTTCCCAGTTGTCAGAAATCCTAATCAAACTCTGACCATAAATGTTTTGCAGTATTCTGGTACTAGTGGCATGTTCCTGACGCCACACTTCAATAGATAGAACTTGACAAGACTCATGACATATGCCTAAGTGTGATTTAGATAATTTTGAATATACAGGGTGTCATCTCAACATCAAACAATTAACAATTAGCGCCATCTATGATCAGAGACAGAGGAGTGTATTTGGACCCCATATACCACCAAACTTTGAGACATCCCTCTAAATTTTCAAATTTCCCACCACAGTAACTGAAGAAGCCCTATGGATGCAGGACAAAATATTTTAGGTAAGTTTTTCAAATATGTCCATGTTAGATGAACCTGTAATACTTCAACATTGTCGGTTCCCACGCTCAATCACTAGGTTCCAGGGACAGGTCAGAAGTTTGATGAAGCAAGATGCATCTTAAAGAACTTTCAACAACCATTGAATCCCCAAATCAGCTTTGATTTTATGTACAGGGCTCTCGCCAGGCTTTTAGACTGTGGCGCAGCACCACACTCTATTTAGCTCCCTCCACACCCTAATGGCAAATCATGACTGTTTCCACAGTCTAAACTTGACTGAATATACAATAATAGCATGTAAAAAGGATAAAACATAACATAAATATGATTTATCACGATTGAACAGTTATTCTGAAGATGTTAGCACCACACCCTAAATATTTTCTGGTGAGAGCCCTGATGTATGTATGCTTAATGTGCAATCAAGTCTTCATAAAGGCATCAATGATAGAAATGATGAATAACTGCAGAATTACCATTTCCATCCTGTTCATAGGCATACTATTTATATTCAATTTCGGATGAAGTATAATGTATAACAATGTCAATATCAGACCTAAAATGAGATAGATTGAAAATCAATTTCTGCCATTTACAATATGAAAAAGTGGTTAACAAGGCACTAAAGCGAGTATGCACTAGACCCTGAACTAGATTAGATAAAGCCATATGCTTAACAAATGTTCTAAGAATAGAATGGCTCAATAGATCTAAACAAGAATGTTATGTTTTGATTAAGGTACAAGTTCTTATTTTGAATCAGGCTGCCGTAAAGGCGGGCGTAAAGGTTGGTGCCATTTAGCTAAATATAAAGGAGGGCCCTATGAATTACCTAGCCTCTGTATCATACATGATTTTCAATACTGTTAATTAATTAACCTTGCATAAAATCTCTGGTTCTAAACAAACATCTATATTATATATACCCATAAGCTTGGAAACATAAACATATCATCAGGGGCGTTGCCAGCTTTTAGTCAGTTTTGGTGCAATCGCCAAAAAAATTCAGTTTTCAGTCAGGGGGGTGCGATTGTGGCATAAAAAAGCCCAAAATTTAGATTTATTTTGAATTTTACAAAAATTGATACAACTTCCTTCAAAATTGAGCTAGAAGCTTCAAATAAAAAGTATTTTAAAGCTCTTTTCTTCTTCTTTCTCAAGATTTTATATTTATTGGTTACTGGCTACGGCTATGCATATACAGGTCCAGAATGCCAGAACAAACTCAGCTAAGCGCTGAAGTCATAACCATGAGGTTAGAAGTTCGAGATACATGAGCTCCTTGTATCTATTCAAACATACATTTGCATTTTGGTAGAAGGCGGAATAAGGTCAATATGAAACTTTACAATCATATAAAATAATAGCCAATCCTGGGAGCCAATCTTGTATTACAAGTCTTTGGACCCCCCCCCTCCCATTTACTGTACTACACAGGGACGAGGTGATTGTTTTGGTAGATGACACAAAGGCTTGAAGCCAGAATGAAAACAGGGAGGGTAACACAGACTTTACCAAATGTAGACTTGCAAATCTGTTGCTGTTGCAGTTATATAATCATTACACAAACGGCAATTCAGAACCAGATTTTCATTTCCAAGGGATGATTGATTCAGAAAATATCATAACATTTGCGTTGTTATAATTTGTTTCTGTACACAGCAATCTAATCAATGTCATAGCTACAATGGCAGTGTTGTAATTACAGCCATATCATATTATACATTAGTTAATTGTTTCCGACCCTTACGTGTGATTTCACATCATTTCTAAAATACTAAATTTAAGATATAGTTTTTGCATGCGTTCGGTCCATGTGTTTTTAACTTATATTCTCTCCATAAAAACACTTCAGAAATTGGTGAAGATGAAAAAAGCACTGTACAGAAAAACACCTCTCATCCAAATGCTGGGACCAGTCAAAAATGTTCAGATTAGCAGGTGTTCACATTTTTTTAACATGTAAATCTATGGCAGCTTTAAAAAATGGAACTGAAAAAACGTTCATATTGATATGCTTTCAGATGAGAGCAAATATACAGGTTTTTCTGTATATACAATCAGATATAAGGACATAGGAATTCTAAGAGTATTAAATTAACTTGCATCGCATCCATACTCAGGTTAGGGAATTGCAGCAATGTTGCAAATTGGTATGAAGGAAATCACATAAATACTTTATGTGTTGAAATCAGATATCATCAGCACTTTAAACATTTCGATTTGGAGAAAATATGCTGTTGGCCATTTTCACTCTTCTATACCTAACCCGTAGAAATGCATAAGGTATTCTGTTTGTCTAATTGCATTGTTAAGTATATTTTTGAAAGTACCTTATTAACATCTAACTTTCAACCGATTAATCATTAATAAGGAACAAACAAATAAAAACAAATAACATAATCATTACTAATAAGCCAAATAGGTTGCTTATGAACACCAAATGCAAGGTATAGGAGAGTGATTTTCAAACCAGAAAGTGAACTCAAGTTCACATACCTTGAACAACCTGGAACAAGACCATTATTCCAAGGCAACCAGGTACATGTACAAGAAAAGAAGACCAATTTGACTTTTACAGCCAATTTACCTGCTCAAAAATAATACAAGCTAAGGTCCATAGGGTTATTTTTGCTTTCATGATTTTTGCATTCAGCTCCAAGCCAGAAAGGATAGATCATGTTTCTCTTTACTGGAGACAAAAAACAAACTCGTCTCACTGTGTGGCTTTTTACAATCTGATATCTTTTTTACCATCTGATATCTGATTAGTAAAACATGTCTAGTGTCCATGGGAAATGACAG